AGCAGCTTAAAAGGCAGCAAGGACATACAGGGAGGAACTGAATTGTCTGTCATCAGGGTGAGGGTGGGAGCTTTCTGCCAGAAAAAAGTGCTGGCAGAGGCCATTGTTCCTTTTCTGAGACTCCCCCGCTGCAAACACACAGATAGAGCTGGCAAGGGGGCACCACATCTGAGTCTCTATCAACCAGGCTCATACTGTTTGCCCTGCCCTGGTGATTCCCTAAGACCCTACCCCACCCATCCAGTTGGGGCCCACCCATTCTGTTACCAGTGGCTTTTTTTTTTCTATTACTGATTTTTTTTTTTAGGGAGAGAGAGAGAGAAACATTGATGAGAAAGGCTGCCTCCTGCATGCCCCCCACTAGGGATTTGGCCCACAACCTGGGCATGTTGCCCTCACCAGGAATTGAACCGGCGACCTCTTGGTGTGTGGGCTGATGCTCAACCACTGAGATACGCTCCAGTGGCTTTTTATATGAATGGCTTGTCTTGGTTTATGCTTCAGACTTTCCTAAAATCTCTCAAAAGGGTAGCATCTGGCCTCAGCATGCCCTATACCTCAGGATAAGCGGCCCCAGGCCAGGCAGTAGCGGCAGCCAGTCTTGGTTCACAGCTGGACCTTTCCTGGGCACCTCTAAGCCCAGCACAAGTAGTAGCCATCTGTAGATCACTTTATAGCTCATGCTGGGTGGCCCCAGGCAGAACATAGGCAGTGGCTGACCTTGGCCTGCACCTTTCGGAGGCCCTAGCACACCCGGTGGACAGTTTCAGACCACTTTGAAGCACCACCCAAGCAAGCAACACAGCAGGGGCGTACTCAGTAGGCACCAAACCCCCATGAAGTAAATCTTGCTCCATGGGGTGGGACCGTGCACAGTCGATCCTGCATGGTGGTTGGTGATTGGTAATCAGTGGTTGCCGCCAGTCCTTGCAGTCTTTTGGCCTGGGGGTCCCTTCCATTGACATGCCAACAGCAATCAAGGCTCAACTACAACAGGAAGGTGTACAGTTCACGTTGGGGTGCCCAGCTTGGGTGATGGAGAAGGCTGTAGCACTGAACCCTACAGAACACCTACTGCATTAGGTACTATTCCAAGCCCAGGAGACATAGCAGCTGTACCTAATACATAGAAACAAACAGAGAGAGGCTGTCAAGATGAGGAGACAAAGAAACATGTCTCAAATGAAACAACAGAACCAAACTCAAGAAACAAATAAATAAAATGAGACATGCAATCTACTAGATTTAGAGTTCAAAACACTGGTTATAAGGATGCTCAGGGAATTTAGTGAGAACTTCAACAGCATAAAAAGGACATGGGAACCATAAAAAAGAACGAGTCAGAAATGAAGGATACACTAACTGAAACGAAGAATAATTTACAGAGTACAATTAGATGAATCCAAGAATCAAATCAGTGATTTGGAATATAAGGAAGCAAAAAATACCCAATCAAAAAGAAAATAGAATCCACAAAAATGAGGATAGTGTAAGGAGCCTATGGGACAACTTCAAGCATGCCAACATGGGGGTGCCAGAAGGATAAGAGAAAGAGCAAGAAATTGAAAACCTATTTGAAAAATAATGACGGGCCCTGGTTGGGTGGCTCAGTTGGTTGAGTCGTCCTTTGCCCTGAAATGTTGCCAGTTTGATTCCTGGTCAGGGTGCCTACCTGGGTTTTGGGTTTGGTCTCCAGTTCAGGCACCTGTGGAGCACAGCCTATTCATGTTTCTCTCTCACATAGATGTCTCTATTTCTCTGTCTCTCTCTGTGTCATTGGATGAGGATTAAAAAAGTTCAGCTGTGTTGACTAATGATCCCCTACCCTGGTGCTGACTAATCAGTAGAGACCACAACCTTGAAAGGACACAAAGGGGAAGAAAGATGATGAATATTCTCTTGGGATCCTCTCCCCTCCTCTCTAGACCTCCAGATGAATACCCTCAAGACAGAGAACCCATCGCAGCTCTCTCTATAGGAGCAGTCTGTGCCTTCCCCCACCCGCTTCTCCCAGGCCTGTTTTCCTTGTCTTTCTCTAAGGCTCTAAGGGCCCTTTTTTAGCCTCTATAGCTTGTTTCCTGAGCCTAATCCTACCTCTGTGACTTTCTTTTTTTGTTTTAAATATGTTTTTATTGATTTTTTTGTTTTGTTTTGTTTTTAGAGAGAGAGGGAGAGATAGAAACATTGATATGAGAGAAACATTGATTGGATGCCTTCTGCATGCTCCCTACTGGGAATCGAACTGGGGACCTCTCAGTCTTTGGGAGGTCGCTCAGTCCAGTGAGCCACTCCGGCCAGGCTCTGTGACTTTCTAAATAAACTGTCTTACATACATTCAGTCTTGGTTCTGAATTCTTTCTTAGCCAGAACTTAAGTACTGAGACTGCTGAACCAAGGTCCAGTGTGACTTCACTTGTCTAACATATGGCACCATTATCACTACCAACACATATACCTATTGTGTTATATTATGTTGAAGTTCTAATGAAGCTTGAAGATAATTGTGTTTCCTCTGGGCAAAGAGTACTCTATTATTGTGTTCAGTTCTCTAGCTATTTGTAATAAAAAACAGTGAATGCCCCCCAAAAAGCAAGCAAGCCAACAAAGAAGGAAATTATACAATAAAATTGAAGCCTCTACAAATGAATGATGAGTGAATGAATAACTCTCCCTTACCTTCCTTGCCAAACAGAAAGAGAAAATAGAAAGCAGGACACAAAAGAAATCGAGGGCTTTATTCCTGTTGCAGAAATCAGTGAGGACAGGTGAGGTGTTCAGATTCTCAGGCAGGCTGGTGTTAGGAGTGCTCCTCCTTACTGATAATCAGTTCCTTTGGATCGCTGCTGGTCTAGGGTAGGGACTTACACATCCAGGATTCAAACATGATCATTCCTAGTCTTAGCAAAATATCTAGGAAAAAGTAGAATTATCTGAACAACACTTTGTATTTGACTATAGACAGCATAGTTGAAAGAACATAGGTATGTCCCTGTGGTTGACTTTTTGACCTTCTACTTATTGTGTACCCTTATGTAAGATACTGCTTTAAATACATTTCCTCACCTGCAAAATGAAGATATATCTACTTCAGATTGTTGCTGTGAAAATTAATAAGGTAATATATCCAAAGTGCCTGGCACATAGAGGTGCTCAGTCAGTGGTAACTTTTTTTTTTCTTTATTGATTTTTAGAGAGAGGGGAAAGGAGAGGGAGAAAGAAACAGCAATGAGAGAGAACATTGGTTGGCTGCTACCTGCATGCCTCCCACTGGGGATTTGGCCCACAACCTGGGCATGTGCGCTGGCCAGGAACTGAACTGGTGACCTCTTGGTGCATGGGTCAACGCTCAACCACTGTGCCACACTGGCCAGGCGGTAACTTTTTTTTTTTTTCTCTTCACCTGAGGACACCTTTCCATTTTGTTGTTCAGATAGAGTGGAAGTGGGGGGAGAGAGAGAGAGAGAGAGAGAGAGAGAGAGAGAAACATCGACGTGAAAGGGACACATCGAGTGGCTGCCACCCGCACAACCCAATCAGGGCCGGGGACAAACTGCAACCGAGGTACGTGCCCTTAGCGGGAACCGAACCCGGGTCTCTCCGGACCGCAGGCCGACGCTCTAACTGCTGAGCCAAACCGGCCAGGGCAGTAACTTTTTTTTTTTTTATCCTCACCTGAGGACATTTTTCTATTTTTTATTCAGGTAGAGTGGGAGGGGGAGAGAGGAAGAGAGAGAGAAACATCGATGTGAAAGGGACACATCGAGTAGCCGCCACCCACACGACCTACCAGGGCCGGGGACAAACTGCAACTGAGGTACATGCCCTTAGCAGGAACCGAACCCGGGTCTCTCGGGACCGCAGGCCGGCGCTCTAACCACTGAGCCAAACCGGCCAGGGCAGTAACTTTTTTTTAATAGTAAATATACATTGTTTTTCCAAAAATGTTTACTATAAAAATTTATTGTGGCCCTGACAGGTTTTCCTCAGTGGTTAGTGTCAGCCCGTGGTCCAGAGAGTCCCGGGTTCAGTTCTCATTAAGGGCACGTTCTTCAGTTGCAGTTTGTCCCTAGTTCCTGGGGTTGTGTGGGTGGCAGCCAGTCGATGTGTCTCTCTCACATTGATGTTTCTCTCTCTTCCTCCCTCTCTCCCTCCCGCTCTATAAAGATAAATGCAAAAACAAACATAATTAGCCCTGGTCGATTTGGCTCAGCGGTTAGAGTGTCAGCCTGTGGTCCAGAGAGACCCGGGTTCAGTTCCCGCTAAGGGCACGTACCTTGGTTGAAGTTTGTCCCCGGCCCTGGTTGGGTCGTGCGGGTGGCAACCACTCGATGTGTCCCTTTCATGTCGATATTTCTCTCTCTCTCTCTCTCCCTCCCACTCTATCTGAACAACAACAAACATAATTATTGTAGTCCTGGCCCATGTGGCTCGGTGGTTAGAGCACCAGCCTGCACACTGAAGGGTTGATGGTTTGATTCCTGTCAAGGGCATGTACCTGGGTTGCAGGTTTGATCCCTGGCTCTGGTTGGGGTGTGTGCGGGAGGCAACCAATCAATGTGTCTCTCACATCGATATTGCTCTCTCTGAAGATCAATGGAAAAAATATCCTTGGGTGAAGATTAACAAGAAAAAAGATTATTGTGTACTGATGGATTGTAGTTTTTACTGTGAATTGCTATTTAGTATTAAGGCCCTTCTAAAGGTGATTATTTATCCAGTGCCATGGGGAATCTGGAAAAATTCTGAAGTTCTTTGGGGGAGATGAACAAAACCACCATCCTCCACTTAGAGATGTAGTTACTCTATAGAACAAAGGCAAACCCTGGAATTAGTTGTAAGAGAATGTATGTGCCAAGGGTTTGTTCATAGCAAGCTTTCTATTAGTTGCATGTACTTGTTCAGGATGTGGAAAGAAACTGGTGATCTTAGACATAGGGTGTTCATGATGAATCTGTTTTTCTTTTAACAAATCTCTCCCCTCACCCCCCACTTCTCCTCAGCTGCTCAGATGAAGAATTTGATGAGCCAACTAGGAACTAAGCAGGACTCCACCAAGCTACAGGAAAATCTGTGAGTAGCTTCCTAACAAGGCTGGGTTTTGTGAGGGCCCTTTGAGGACACACTTGTCATTGCTGCATGGCACCTTAGGTGTCAGGCCTGTGAAGTCAGAATGAGAGGCAGTGGGACTTGAGGTAATAGCTGGATCTAGAAGGGGGGGCAACAAAATTTATTAAGGGATTATGATCTTCCCTGCCTCTTAAAGTCCTTGATCTCTGGTTCTTTCTTCCCTTGGGCAGTTTAATAGAACAGTTGAGGGAAATAGAAAAGGGAACCCCTACTTCTTAAGCTATATTTTGCCTAAATGAACCTCCCTGTTTGTAGAGGACTCGATGATCTGCAGAGCTCATCTCATCTAGTTGGATTTTCAACTACATACATTATTAGAAACATTTATTCTGAATGACCCCAGGGGAGTCTGAGAGAATAGTAGACTGGTAGTAGGGATACGTGATTTTTTTATCACATTCTTCTTGAGTACATTTCTGCTTTTAGAAGTTCTATTCTTTCTCTTTAAAATATCCTGAACAGTGTTCTTTGTTTCCTGTCCTAGACATTGTGAAGTAAGAGAATGACCTACTACTACTTGGAGCTTTTTCCAGGGAGATGTGAAATATCTCTGGATATGTTAGTATTTTCTGGGATGTTCAGACTCCTCATTGACTCCCTCTTGTTTCTGACTCCCTTGTTTTTATCTTGGAGGCCCCTTTGCAGTGAAAAAAACATTAATAATTAGTAGTGTGGTTTCTCTGTCCTCCCTTAAGACCTTTGTAGAAATGTCCAGATAGCAGAGGAAATCATGACTCTTTTTGTATTTCCACTACTTTTCAATCCTACCTAATATATTGCATATTCTTTCCTCTTTCATGTGCTTCTCTTTTTACTCCTCATATATGTTCACACACTATAGGGTTTTTTTGTTTTAGAGGGAAGAAGCAGAAAGTCAAGCATACAGGACTGGTAAGGAGTCAAAGCTAAAGCTAAAAAAGCACCAGCTTTAAGCAAGAACTTGGGAGTAGATCTTTGAAGGTTGTTCCAAGGGGTAGGAGCTGAGTTTTTATTTATTTATTTTTTAATTTTTATTATTTTTTTATTGATTTTTTTTTTTTTTTTTAGAGAGAGAGGAAGGGAGAGGGAGAGAGAGATACAAACATCGATGAGAGAGAACATTGATTGGCTGCCTCCTGCATGCCCCCCACTGGGGTTTGGCCCACAACCTGGGCATGTGCCCTGACTGGGAATCGAACTAGTGATCTCTTGGTGCATGGGTTGACCACTGAGCCATACTGGCCAGGCGGGAGCTGAGCTTTAATGCACATTTCATTGAACCACCAGTATTCTGTCTTTAGGCAGTGAACTGTGACAGTAACTATGCAGGACTCCTGGGCAACTCAGTGTGAGAGTTTTGTGAGAGAGTTTATTTCAGTGTGTTAAAACTATTAGATTTAGCTGTGGGGGCAATTGTTCTTATATTTCTATCAAAACTGCTGATATGCTTTTCTTTTCTTCCAAAGAGTTAAAATACCAGATCATCAGATTACACTGAGGCAGGTTCTTTCTACTCAGTAATATGAAGAAGCCTTGAAGTGGGTTTGTTGTGAACCTGGGCATCTAGAAACCTGTTTCTTCAAGTGCCCCTTCATTCCCTGTATTGTGAGACACTTTGAGAACAAGCTGATACTAATTATAACAGTTCTCAGAAAATGAGAATATCCTGAAACATGTCTTTTCTCTCTTAGGCAGCAGTTACAACACTCTACAAATCAACTTGCCAAGGAAACAAATGAATTACTGAAGGAATTAGGATCCTTGCCCCTTCCCTTATCTACTTCAGAACAGGTAGGTATTTTCTGATTATTTTGTTTTTTAATAAGAAAGGACTTTGTTTGAATGGAAACACAGTATATGAAATAAAAGTAACTTGGCCTTTGATGCTAGATAGACCTTCTCTAAACCTCAGCATCATTATCAGTAAAATGGGGTAAGTGGCCACTGTGACAAGAGAAAGAATGTATGCACCAGATCTTACAAAGTGTCTGGCACTTAGTAGGTACTCAGTATGTGGTGGCTGCTGCCATTATTAGTAATAACATACTAATATATTAATAAAATAGGTTTAACTAAAAAAGAATCTTAGTATTTATATCTTTTTGTGTTTTAGCTAGCAGTTTTATGTTTTCAGGCTTGATCCAGTATCTATAAATTTCAATCATATGTCTTTTATATTTTGCAGTCACTTTCATTTCCCATTGTGAGTCATTCATAGGTCTCTGGTTGGGGAAATGCTCAGGGAAAAAAGACTTCTCTTTTTAAGTAATTTTATTCAGTGGCCATTTAAATCCTTTAAAAACACACTTTTTATAGGGATTCATTGTTCCCTTGATATGACCTGCCTTTTTTTCACACATTCATGAAGTCAGCTGTGTCCCTCCTCTGTGGCTTGACTCTTTTACCTGTCATTCATGGTCTACTTCAATTCCTCTCTCTTCCAGGGAAAAAAAACTTTATCTACCTAAGCCTGTTGTGACTTCTTTTTGCTTTTAGCTTCTACACCATTCATGGGGGGCACTTAACTTATATTACTTTTTAAATTCTTTTTACTCCTCACCTGAGGATATTTTTTCATTTATCTTCAGATAGAGTGGGAGGAAGAAAGAGAGAGAATGAGAGAGAAACATCAATGTGAGAGAGACACATCAGCTGGTTGCCTCCCGTACGACCTGACCAGGGCCGGGGACCAAACCACAACTGAGGTACGTGCCTTTGACCAGAATCAAACCCGAGACTCTTTGGTCCATGGGCTGATGTTCTAACCACTGAGCAAAACCGGCCAGGGCCATATTACTTTTTTTTATTTTAGATAGAGAAAGGGGAAGAGAGAGAGAAATATCAATTTGTTGTTCTACTTATTTATGCATTCATTGGTTGTTTTGTATATGTGCCCTGACTAGGGATCAAACCTACAACCTTGGTGTATTGTGACAATGCTCTAACCAACTGAGCTACCTGGCCAGGGCCTATTATTGAACTTTTTAAATGGTGATGTCCTATCTCTGATGAATGGCTCCAAAGATGAAGTTACAATTTCCCTGTCCAGGGGTTATCTGTGAATTGTGGCTATTGGAACATAAAATAATATTAGTATGTTATGACCATCATTTTGACATTGAGTAGAAATGGAGTGTGTGATTATTACATGAAACTTGTATATGATATCATGTATATATCATGTATATGATACTGGATCAAGATGTCATATTCTTGCTGTGTATCCATCGAAAAAGTTTGAAGATCATTAGTTTAACCTACACCTGGCAAGCTATTTAATGAAGTATATGTTCAGTCTTAGGTGTTTTGGCACCCCTTGCACAAGAGGATCCAGGGCTAGATGCTTTCTCATCCTGCTACAAAGTAGTTAAAATAAAAAGTAATCTTTATGTACTCACCTTTTGGTTATCCATATGTGCTGTCTGTTTTAGTTGTTACTCATGCTGATCTTTAATTATGGACAAACTACCCTTCTCTTCCTCCCAGGTGTGCATTTAGGGAATACACACTTGTAATAGTACTAGTAAAAAAGGAGTCTAAAGGTCTGATCCAGAGTATTGAAAGTACTTAAGAGTTAAATAGTAGCCTAAGCAAAATATAAGTAGAAAGTTAAATCTACAAAAAAAAAATGGATCTAATGTATTCTAAAATCAGATGGAAGTTATTTTTGGATTATGCATGCTATTTTTTCCTTCCATTATCTTGGATCATAAAGAACACGAAATAGATCTACAGACATACTTTCTCTGGTGATTCCCTTCCTCCTGTAGCGCTAAATACTCTTTTCCTTTCAAATCTTTCTTCATCTAATTAATCTTTGCCACATCACTCATCTTTTGCTACTGTCCTATACATCATGCCATATATTCTACTTTCAGTATTTTTTCATACTTGTACTATCATTAGTGATCTTCTAGCTGCTAAATCCAGTGGCATTTTTTGGTTTTTACTCACTTCTCTGATACATTTGATCTTGCCCATCCTGTCTCCACTGAAACTTTTCTTTCCATGATTCCCTTTCATTCTGTCCCCCAATTCTGGTGATCCCTTTCTGGCCTGTTTTTCTTATCCCAGGTTGAGTCTCAGCCTCCTTCTCTGACTCTAATTTCCTAGAAGTGGGCATGCCCTAAGGCTCTGCCATTGATTCTGTAATTTTCTCACTCTATGCTTTCTCCCTCAGGAGTCCTATCTATTTTTATAGGCTCCCTGCCTTTATGAACATGATGCCCAGATCTTTTTCTAGCCCTAGCTGCTAAGACTCTAAACCTCTACTGCCAATTCCTGTTCTGAACTTTCCTTTTGAATATAATACCCTCATTTAAAATTTAGTGTGTTGCCCTGGCCGGTTTGGCTCAGTGGTTAGAGCATCGGCCTGTGGTCCAAAGAGTCCCGGGTTCCCACTAAGGGCACGTACCTCGGTTGCAGCTTGTCCCCTGCCCCAGTTGGGGTCGTGCGGGTGGCAGCCAGTCGATGTGTCTCTCTCACATCAATGTTTCTCCCCTCCCCCCATCTCAAGATGAATGTAAAAATGTCCTTAGGTGAGGATAAAAAAAATCTTCACCAGAGGACATTTTTCCATTTTTTGTTCAGATAGAGTGGGAGGAAGAGAGAGAGAGAGAAACATCTACGTGAAAGGGACACATCGAGTGGCTGCCTCCCACACAACCCAGCCGGGGTCGGGGACAAACTGCAACCAAGGTATGTGCCCCTAGCGGGAACCAAACCCGGGACTCTCTAGTCTGCGGGCCAACACTCTAACCTCTGAGCCAGACCAGCCAGGGCACCCTGGCAAATTACTTAACCAATCTCTGTGCCTCGGTTTTCTGATCTGTAAAATAGGAACTATAATAGTATCTAACTAATATAGGTTCTTGTATAGATTAAATAGATTATTATATGAAGTACTTATATCATAGTACACGCACGTGGTAAGCACTATATAAATATTAGCTATCACTGGGGCTCACTTTAGCTTTATTTATAATAGTTAAAAAGTGGGAACAATCTAGAAGGAATGTTTACATAAAATTTACTACATCAGTCCGGCCAGTGGTAATCTCAGAGGGAATTGCAATTCAGAATTTTGGTTCCCTAAAGGATCAAAAACCAAATAATTACTGTTGAACTCAGAATGGACCCAGAGATTGTTTTTTATTAAAATGTTAAAACTGGCTCAGCCAGTGTGGCTCACTGGTTGAGTGTCGACCCATGCACCAAGATGTTGCTAGTTTGATTCTCAGTCAGGGCACATGCCCAGGTTGTGGGCCAAATCTCCAGTGGGGGGCATACAGGAGGCGACCAGTCAATATTCTCTCTTATTGATGTTTCTATCACTCTCCCTCTCCCTTGTCTCTCTCTAAAATCAATAAAGAAAAATAAATTTACTAGATCAGTTTGATGGAATATTATGTAACAAGGATAGTAATTGTGAAGAGGATGATAACATGGAAAACATTTATGATGTACTTAAAAGATAGTATTTTTTGGATAGTGAGATTAGGGGATGATTTTTTTTTCTTTCTAATTGTTGCAATATTTGTGAACAAATAAAAATCTCAGAAAAGGGCCCTGGCCGGTTTGGCTCAGCGGTTAGAGCATCGGCCTGCGGTCGGAGAGACCCGGGTTTGGTTCCCGCTAAGGGCACGTACTTCGGTTGCAGTTTGTCCCTGGCCCTGGTTGGTCGTGTGGTGGCAGCCACTCAATGTGTCCCTTTCACATCGATGTTTCTCTCTCTCTGTCTCTTCCTCTCTCTCCCTCCCACTCTATCTGTACAAAAAATGGGAAAATGTCCTCGGGTGAGGATAAAAAAATAAAAAAAATCTCAGAAAAGGGAAAAAAAGTTCCTCATCTAAATTTGCTTTCAGTATTACCATCACTCTCTTAGGAGTGAAATTTGAGTCATTCTTGACATTACCCCCTTCCCCTGTAGCCACTCACTAAGTCATAATGTTTCTTAAATTAATTTCTTTCTGTTCCCATTACTGACAGATACTATATTCTCCTAACCTTAAACCTAGACTATTGCAGTAATCTTTCTGACGCGTTTCTTTTTTCCATTCTATCTTCTACACCATCACAGACTAATTTTTCTAAGTTATCATTTTGTTCCCATCATGTTCCCTGCACAAAAATCTTCATTGTTCTTTGTTCTTTAGAGATTAGGTCCCAAAGTCTTTAGCTTGGCACTTAAAACCTGCTGTGGTCTGAGCCTTCCCCTTTCCAATTTCATCTTTTAGCTATTCTTGTGAAAACACCTTTGGTTCCAGCGTGGCTTCTGTGGCTCAGAGGGTGAGTATCGACCCATGCACCAAGAGGTCACCGGTTCGATTCCCGGTCAGGGCACATGCCCAGGTTGTAGACCTGATCCCCAGTTGAGGGCATGCAGGAGGTGGCCAATCGATGTTCTCTCTCATCGATGCCTCTATCTCTCTCTCCCTCTCCCTTCCTCTCTCTCTAAAGTCAATAAAGAAAAAAAATTAAAACAAAAAAACACACCTTTGGTTCCATCCAAAATATCCCCTTATAGATCCTCTTCAAATTTCTACCACCTTGCCTTTGCTCACACTGTTCTCCTGCCTGAATTTGCCTAACCCCTTCTCTCATGCCTTACTTTTTCTTTAGTGACCACCTCCTCTTGAGACCTTTTTGATCCCTTGAGTTCTTACTGATTATATCTACCTAAGAACACTTATAGTACTGATTGGATATAGCAATTTTTTATAATAATTTGTTACTTGTATGTCTATATCCTTTATCTATAAATATACATGGTAAACTGTTTGAGGTCAGGGATGAGATTTTATTTCTATATTCTCAGCATACAGCAAGTGCTCTAATTATGTGTTGTTTTTTTTAAATTTTTTTATCATCCTCACCCGAGGACCTTTTTTTCCTTTTTTTTTTTTTTTTTTTGTTATTGTTGTTCAGGTAGAGTGGGAGGGAGAGAGAGGAACAGAGAAAGAGAGAAACATCGATGTGAAAGGGACACATCGAGTGGTCGCCACCCGCACAACCAACCAGGGCCGGGGACAAACTGCAACCGAGGTACATGCCCTTAGCGGGAACCGAACCCGGGTCTCTCCGAACCGCAGGCCGATCCTCTAACCGCTGAGCCAAACCGGCCAGGGCTAATTATGTGTTTTTTGAGACATAGACTTAGTAAGCTTAGTTAAGGTGGCCTGTAACTATAGAAACTAATTTTCAGGTTCTCAAAGATTTAAAACCTCACCATAGTGTAAAGGAAAATTACCCTGTGGTTTTAGGGAAGCTGTGAACTAGGCATAGGTGAATGCAGTTTTAACATTTTATTTATTTTTATTATTTTTTTAATTAATGAATTAATTTATTTTTGTTACAGATGTTTCTCTCCCCCCCCCCCCCACTGATTCTCCCTTCCCCTCCTCCCCGCCCTGTCCCCAGCTTTGTTGTCTATGTCCATTGTTCATGCATACATGCATATAAATTCTGTGGTTTATCTCTCCCCACCACCCCCTCTTCTGGGAATTGTCAGTCTGTACCCCACTTCCACGTCTCTGGGACTACCCCATTCCTCAGACTGTTATGTTCATTATATTCCAGAAATAAGTGAGATCATATGATACTTGTCTTTCTCTATTTGGCTTGTTTCGCTTAGGATAATACTTTCCAGGTCCCTCTATGTCGTCTCAAAGGATAAGAGAGCTTTCTTTCTTACAGCTGCATAGTATTCCATTGTGTATATGTACCACACCTTTTTCTTTTTTTTTTTTAATCCTCACCCGAGGACATTTTTCCATTTTTTGCACAGATAGAGTGGGAGGGAGAGAGAGGAAGAGAGAGAGAGGGAAACATCGATGTGAAAGGGACACATCGAGTGGCCGCCACCCGCACGACCAACCAGGGCCGGGGACAAACTGCAACCGAGGTACACGCCCTTAGCGGGAACCGAACCCAGGTCTCTCCGGAGCGCAGGCGGATGCTCTAACCGCTGAACCAAACCGGCCAGGGCTTTTTTTTTTTTTTTTTTTTTTTTTTGTACCACATCTTTTTTATTCATTCGTCTACTGATGGACATTTGGGCTGTTTCTAGATCTTAGCTATTGTAAATAGTGCTGCTACGAACATGGGGGTACATCTATTCTTTCTGATTGGTGTTTCAGGCTTCTTAGGGTTATTATTTTTTAAATATTTTTTTCTTTATTGATTTTTAAAGGGAGAGGGAGATAGAAACATCGATAAGCAAGAACATTGATTGGCCGCCTCCTGCATGCCCCCCACTGAGGCGGGCCCACAACCTGGGCATGTGCCCTGACCAGGAATCGAACCGGCAACCACTTGGTGCATGGGTTGATGCTCAACCAGTGAGCCACACTGGCTGAGCCAGTTTTAACATTTTAATAAAAACAATCTCTGGGTCCATTCTGAGTTCAACAGTAATTATTTGGTTTTTGATCCTTTAGGGAACCAAAATTCTGAATTGCAATTCCCTCTGAGATTACCTTATAAGGTAAATGACATCCAGTTCCCAGATTTGTCAGAATGAAAATTCTGATGTGGCCTATAGTATTAACCAGGGATTTGAGTTAGCAAAGAGCATATTTATTAATTTAAGGAAGTTCCTATTTCATAGTAATTTTATTTATTTATTTTTTAAATATGTTTTTATTGGTTTCAGAAAGAAGAAGGGAGAGGGAGAAAGAGATAGAAACATTGGTGAGAGAGAAACATTGATCAGCTGCCCCCTGCATGCCGCCTACTGGGAATTAAGCTCACAGCCCAGGCATGTGCCCTGACTAGGAATTAAATGGGTGACCTCCTGGTACATGGGATGACGCTCAATCAATTGAACCACACTGGCCAGGCCATAATAATTTTTCTAATAGGGAATCTTTAGGGGGTATAATATTGCTTTTAATGGGTATTAAAACCAAATGATGGGACTAGTTAAATGAACTTTCACATTTTTGTTTAATTCCTTTAGCGCCAGCAGAGACTTCAAAAAGAACGCCTCATGAACGATTTCTCTGCAGCATTAAACAATTTCCAGGCTGTGCAGAGAAGGGTGTCTGAAAAGGAAAAGGAGAGTATTGCCAGAGCAAGAGCTGGATCTCGACTTTCTGTAAGTTTATTCCCTAAAGAAGACCTTTGCAAATTTCAGGATGTCGTTTCCTAGGGTTTTTTTCCCCTCTGACCATTAGCCTTTGTTTGCTATCCCCACAAATAATATAGACATTAGCTGATATGAGAATGCCAGATTGGTATAACCTATGTAAAAAAAAAAATTTGTGCATATGGTCAAAGACTAAAAAGGAATGTATACAAAGGTTTTAAAAAGTGACAGGTAGATTTATGTGTATTTTCTTTTTATTGTTATATTGGTCTTCTGTTAAAAACTTTAAAAAAGAAGAAAGAATGAATCTGTTTCTTAGAGTATAGTAGGCTAGTTTATTTGGATTCATCTTCTCTTTGAAAAGAATCACCAAACACTAGATTTTTTTTTTTTTATCCTCACCCGAGGACATTTTTCGGTATTTTGTTCAGATAGAGTGGGAGGGGGAGAGAGAGAGAGAAACATCGACATGAAAGGAACACATCGAGTGGTTGCCACCCACACGACCCAACCATGGCCGGGGACAAACTGCAACCGAGGTACATGCCCTTAGCGGGAACCGAACCCGCGTCTCTCTGGACCGCAGGCCGACGCTCTAACCACGGAGCCAAACCGGCCAGGTCCAAACACTAGATTTTAACAACCCAGCTTCTCAAAAGTACTTAAGAGCCATGGAAATATTAAGGTCAAAATCTAAGAGAACGTGAGAAGAAGCTATAGTGGTGTGCAGAGCACTGAAACTGCTTTTGTACTGAGTACATTTACTAAGACAAATTTGAGCTTCATTTTTAATGTTCTCATTGCATGAGGGTGGACTAAAGTCGAAGCCCAAGGTCCATGTAAGGTGGAGATCTAAAGGAAGATGCTCCTCAAATTAAACTAGGCCCCTAGAAAAATATATCCCCAAATGGACTGCAAAAAAATTACATTAGCACTGAGCTGAGCAGGTAGAGGACAGCAGAAGGGAGGAGAAATCCAGACAAGCTATACCACAGAGTAACCTTTAAGCAGATTTCACAAATTCATACTACTTGAATGGTGCAAAAACCTTAAGCTTCAAGTAGTCCAGAACTGGTAGAGTATACTCAGGTGCCAGGAAGAAGCAAATAGAAAAATCCTTTCTGCCCTGGCCAGTTTGGCTCAGCGGTTAGAGCGTCGGCCTGCGGTCCGGAGAGACCTGGGTTCGGTTCCCGCTAAGGGCACGTAGTTCGGTTGCAGTTTGTCCCCAGCCCTGGTTGGTTGTGCGGGTGGCAGCCACTCGATGTGTCCCTTCACGTCGATGTTTCTCTCTCTCTCTCTCCCTCCCACTCTATCTGTACAAAAAATGGAAAAATATCCTCGGGTGAGGATAAAAAAAAAGAAAAAAAGAAAAATCGTTTCTGATTAGACATCTTTATCCTAGCCCTGAAATAATACCTTCAGTTTCTGTGAACAGCATAGTGTTAAAAATAAGCAGGTACACAAAGAAACAAATAACCCTGAATGAGAACAAATAGAAACAACAGTAAGGTGAAACAGACTTACAGAGACTTCTTATTATTAGAATTACAAGATAACTATACTTACTGTGTTTAAGGAAATAAAAGAAAAAATCGAAACATCTGCAGGAAGCAGGAAACTACACAGAGCTTTGGAAAAACATCAAAAGATTTTCTAGAATTGGAAAATATATGGAAATTAAAAACTTAATGGATAGGTGGTTTACCTAGAATATAGGTTAGAAGATATTATCCAACATGTAGGACAGGGGGTTAAGAAGTTAAATAGGGAAGAAAGATAATGAGAAATGGAGGATAAAGTGAACGGATCTAACAGTTTTAATTGGAGTTACAGAGCAAACAGAACAGATGATATTTGAAGAGTTAATGGGTGGTAATATTTCAGAACTGATTAAAGACACTAATTTGTAGTTTCAGGAAGCCCAACCAATCTCAGAAGGGCTAAATTAAAAACTCTCATATAGTTACAACAAAGAGATACTTTAGAACATCAAAGACAAAGACAAAAATCATAAAATTAGCAAGGTAAAAATAATAGAATATTTTAAAGACACAATAGTTAGATTGAGGGTTGATTTCTCAACAGCAACAGTGGAAGCCAGTGGAGTGCCCTCTTTAATGTTATGAAGGACAATATCTCTTTTGGAATTGCAGGTTAAAACCCCAATGACGTACTATTTCATGTCCAAAAGAAGGTCAAAAATGGTAATTTCTGTAAACACCAAGGGTGGTTGTTACGGCTATGATGCAACAGGAACTTTCTACCTGGACGGTGGTAGTATGAATTGGAACAATCACTGGAAAACATTTTGTCTGTAACTTCAGAACACATGCATACCTTATGACTCAGTAGTTCTACCCTAGAGAAAAAAAAACTGTATGTTGGTACCAAAATATGTGTATAGGAATGTTCATTTGTAGCAGCATAATTTATAGTACTCAAATTTGGGAACATCCACATGTCCAGCAACTGTAGAATAGATCCATACATTGTGTTTTATTCATATGTTATAATATCATATCACAAAGAAAATGAAGGAACCACAGTTACATTTCATCATCAGGATGATGTAGCATAATCTGGTGTGATCCAGTCAAAGCATGAAAGAATACAAACAACGTAACCACGTTCATGTAAAGTTCAAAATCAGGTGAAATGATATTAAATAACAATACATATCACTAGATATATAAAATACAAGAAAATGATTATCACAAAGTCAGGATAATGGTTACTGTATTTATTTTTTGTTAATCCTCAACTAAGGATATTTATCCATTAAATTTTAGATAGCGTGGAAAGGGGGGAGTGGTGGGAGAGAGAGAGAAACATTGATGTGAGAGAGGCACATCTATTGGTTGCCTCTTGCACTACCCCAACTGGGGCTGGGGATCGAGCTTGCAACCCAAGTATGTACCCTTGACTGGGGATCAAACCCTCGACCCTTTGGTCCATGGGCTGATGCTCTAACTGCTGAGGCAAACTGGCCATGGCCATTAGACTGATTTTTTTTTTTTGCCCACTTTACAGGATGTCCTTATTTATTTATTTTTTTATTTTTATTTTTATTTTGTTGTTGTTACAGATGTTTCTTCCTCCCCTCCCCAGCCATTAGACTTTTTTTTTTTTTAACCTCACCAGAGGACATTTTTGCATTTATCTTCAGATAGAGCAGGAGAGAAGGGGAAAAGAGAAAGAGAGAAACATCAGTGTGAGAGAGACACATCGAGTGGTTGCCACCCACACGACACCAACCGGGGCGGGGACAAACTGCAACCGAGGTACGTGCCCTTAGTGGGAACTGAACCCGGGACTCTGGTCTGCGGGCTGATGCTCTAACCACTGAGCAAAACTGACCAAGGCTTGACTGATTTTTAAAGTGAATTTGCCACTTTAGTGCCTACGATGCTGCAAATGTCCATTTAAAAAATATATCTACATATTCTAAAAATGTATTTCAAATTTTCAAATGTCCCTTAATCCATCTCCCTCCAAATTTTAAAATAGGTTATCATTCATTATTACTTTTTAATCCTCTCTCCTGCCCATGTTCTCTCCATCTTGTTTAGTATGATTTCTCTTCGGAGCCCAAACTGGAAAGATTTTCTTTCTCACCCATTTCCTAGTCAAGGCAGATTCCCACAGTCCTGTGCCTTTCTGTAGCAGATTCTGTTGAGGCAAAAGGCTATTGCTTCTTTATACTCTAGCTAAGAGAAGCTGTTGTTTTGTGTGTCTGTGCCATTTTTCTGGATAACAGCAGCAATAATATCCTCTGCTTTCTAGGCGGAAGAGAGGCAAAGAGAGGAGCAACTCGTCTCATTTGACAGGTAAAAGAATTGATCAGACAACCTTCTGAATAGTTGAGATGGGATTCTGTTGTTTATGTTTTTAATTTTAAAAATCAGTGAGAAAAAAAGGAAAAATAAAGGGAGACCTGAGGTAGTTAATTTATAATCCACTAAGTAAAACAAAAATGTTAAAACCATGTGTTTTTCCAAGGTCTTTGAATTATGTAAGGAATAATTTCAAGGTGAATTCAAAATTCCAGGAAACTCTGTGTTGGATAGAGAACCTGGCTCACTAGGAATAACTAAAGCCACAAATCTACAGATTAAGAGGTCTAAATATTTTAATCTTTAATTAGGATTTACCATTTTATCTCTAATTCTTCAAAGTTATTGGGTCTCTGTTTATTCCCCTCTAAAATAGAGGCAGTTCATTTTTCTGGAGTATTAAAAGGGAAAGCAAACAGTTTATATTTGAAAGATGTCTCCTTTCTCAAACTTCTTCAACTATAGTAGGTCCTCGAATGACACCGTTTTGCTCGTCATTTCCTTATAACCTTGATGAGGTGCCATAGGAACTTAATTCTTGTTTAAATTGATTAGCCTATGGTCAAGTTGGTTTCATTATATATCATTTTGCTAAAAGTCACAGAACCTATCAACATTGAGGATTTGCTGTAATTCCATAGAAATATATTCACCGTATTAGTTTAGAATTTAAACTGTTTTGTCATAGATAGATATCTATCTCCCTCCCCCACCCCCGCTATATTGTGAGCTCCTCAGAGGCCTGGAGTGCTGTATTATTCAGCTTTGTATCTCCACATGGAAATTTTTAAAATAATGTGAAGATGACATATGATTTAGACATACTGTTGGGAAAATGCTTAATACTGGATTTTCAAAGTGTTTCCTGTCTAGTATAATGTATCACATACCTACCATTCTTCTAAATATGGTGCCTGGAAAGAGGACATAACATTTTACTAACTTTTTACTTTAGTTTTCTGTTAAGAGGTATTTAACCCAAAGCATAATCTTAAGATTTCTGAAAACCAGGAGATGTTATTCTGTTAGACTGCCAGGTCATTTAGCCTGTTCTTCTCCACTCATGCATTACCCAGGATACCAACACAGCTTGCACCTTGAGAGTACCCTGGAAGAGAATGGGTTGGTGTACTTCATTGACTTAAGATCTCTACCTACTTTCCTTGTCTAGCAAACCCTAGCAAGATTGCAGAGTATACCCCTAAATGGAAATAGCAAGGAGTCCCATCCCTCAAAATTCTGCTTCATCTCAGTCTTTCCCATGAAAGCTGGGACTTGGTTTTCTTGGTGCTATCAGCACTTTGCCTCTGCATATGAAGATTGTAGCCCTCGGGGACTTTGTCTTGATTGATAGCAGAAGACTTAGAGCCCCGTGATGTCCTCAAATAGGCTCCGCTGGCAGTAGAGATGCTATAGATGTCTCATGCACACCTTTGAGAGGAGGAATCAACTAGAGTGCTTGTCTCCCTGCAGCCATGAGGAGTGGAACCAGATGCAGAGCCAGGAGGATGAGGTGGCCATCACCGAGCAGGACCTGGAACTTATTAAGGAGAGGGAAACGGCGATTCGGCAGCTGGAGGTGAGAGCCAGGTCATGTTTTTTGTTTGACTCAATATAGCTGCACTGTATAATGCACTTTGATTTTCTCTCAGTGATTATGAAAAAACAAAAGGAGTCATTATGTGATTTGGATATTAAGTTTCAATGTAATCATGGTGAATCTGCATTATGTTTATGATGGTATTTATTGGTGCCCAAGAACACCCAAATCCTTTGCTCAAGCATCATATCTTCTCTGATCTCCCTAAGAATATGCTTGGAGAACAGAACAAGGCAAACAAATATTGTATCACTCATTAAGACTTTACTCCCAAACCTCAGTACCAATCCTTAGGTTAGGCAGGGCTCTACAGGGAGCCTCTTTACTTAGTCTGAATAGCCCAGAATAAAGGCAGGCCAGCCCTGGCCGGTTTGGCTCAGCGGTTAGAGCGTCGGCCTGCGGTCCGGAGAGACCTGGGTTCGGTTCCCGCTGAGGGCACGTACCTCGGTTGCGGTTTGTCCCCGGCCCTGGTTGGTCGTGTGGGTGACAGCCACTCGATGTGTCCCTTTCACGTCGATGTTTCTCTCTCTCTCTCTCTTCCTCTCTCTCCCTCCCACTCTATCTGTACAAAAAAAAAAAAGGCAGGCCAAAAGGTTTGCTCCATTTTTGTGCATCCCAAAGTCTAATCTCAAGTTGTAGATATCACTTCAGTGGGTCAGAGAAATTGGAACAGTTTTTTAAGTGGGGGTTGAGAGGTCTTGAAGCCTTTATTACCTGAGTTTCCAACTTTAATTTTGCACAGTGACCAATTAAATATCCTTAAACCTGAGTTTTTTCCACCATGAAGGTAGAAGACTGCCATCCCTGAGGGCAGTGGGGAAAGGAGGGTTATAGAGAAGAGAAACTTTGAGCTCCTCCTTGACCTTCATCTGTAGCAGTAGTTCCAAATCTTGACTGTACATTAGAACCACTTGGACCTTTTTTAAAAGTGTGTTTATATTGATTTTTTAGAGAGGAAGGGAGAGGGAGAGAGAACAACAAAAGAGAGAGAAACATCAATGGGCTGCAACCTGGGCATGTGCCCTGACCAGTAATCAAACCCATGACCTCTCTTATATGGAACAACACTAAACCAACTAAGCCAACACTGGCCAGGGCTGGACTTTTTTTTTTATGCCCTAGCTCTCTTCCCCCACACACCATTTGTTAGTTTGGACTATGTGAAACTCCTATTTTTTGTAGGTTAAAAATGGGCAAATATCCACAAGAAGTCCTGGGCATGGATTTTTTTCTTTTTAATTTCCCAGATGATAATATATAATCAGGGTTGAGACCTACTGACCTGGATCCCACCAGTATCTGGTCCCTGATGAGACAGTTCATCCTGAAGTTTGATTATTTAATTTCCTTTAAAGATATTATATCTTTCTTTTTCTCACATACTGCTACTAATCATTGACTTGGTTCTCTAACAGAAATACTATTATAGCAGGGAATGAGACATATTGAGCTAAGGAAAGCAATGTAACTTAGTGGATGTCAGGAATGTAATAGGCACGTCACATTCAACAGAATTAAGTCCAGATTCCTTAGCCAGGCTCAATTTTCATGTCCAGTCTTTTCATTTTTTTTTTTATCCTCACCTGAGGACACTTTTTTTGCATTTATCTTCAGATAGAGTGGGAGGGAGAGAGGGAGGAAGAGGGAGAGAGAAACATCTATGCGAGAGAGACACATCGTGTGGTTGCCACCCACACGACCCCAACTAGGCTGGGGATAAATTGTAACTGAGGTACGTGCCCCTCGCGGGAACTGAACCCGGGACTCTCTGGTCCATGGGCTGACGCTCTAACTGCTGAGCCAAACCAGCCAGGGCATGTCCAGTCTTTTCTTACATTTAACATGCAAACCCTGTTCAAATGGAAAACAATACACTCTTCTGTGTCTCCTGTACTCTCATTCTACACTTCTGACCCTTCTAGCCACCAAATGTGTGGGTATTTTTTTCACATCAAGTAATTCTGCCACTCTAGCTGGGTGTCCTGCAATTTAACTCAATTCTGATACTGTCTACCTGGAGTGAGCATCAGATCCCACAGGTTGGGTTCATTCTCACACTTCAGATGCCAGCGTCAAGTCCTGGTTGTTACCTGTGCTTCTGACTGACAGGCTCTAAATTGGAGGTTCCCATAGCCCCCTCCATGGTTTTGATTGATTTGCTAGAGTGTCTCACAGAACTCAAGGAGACAATTTACTTAACTAGATTACTGATTTATTATAGAAGAATACAACTCAGGAATAGCCAAATGAAAGAGATGCTTAGGGCAAGGTGTGTGGGAAGGGGTGCAGAGCGTCCCTTCTGCAGGTATGCCATTCTCCCAGGGCCTGCATGTGTTCATCAACCCAGAACTTTTAGAACCTGTTATTTAGGATTTTTATGGAGACTTCATTTTGTGGTTTGACTGATTAAATTATTGGCCTTTGGGGATTGATTCAGCCTCCAGTACCCCTCACCTCCCCAGAGTGGGGCTGAAAGTTCCAACCCTCTAATCATAAGGTTGGTTTCCCTGGAAACCATGTCCCATTCTTAAGGGTTATCCAAAAGTCACATCTTTAACATAAACTCTGGTATGGTTGAATGAGGCTTATTGGAATAACAAGACATCTTTATCTTTATCACTTAGGAAATTCCAAGGGTTTTAGGAACTCTGGATGGGAATGGGATGAAGACCAAATATATATTTATTATAAATCACAATATCACATCTATGTTATAGCTAAGCTGGGCTATTTGCTCTTTAACTCAGTTACCTTTCTGTTCATATGGCTTCTCTTTTGCTTTAAGGCACAACTCAAGTCCTATCTCTCCTGCAAAAGCTTTCTCCTCTGCACAATGTTCTGTACCATTTATTAGTCATTTCCTATATAAATCCCTTTTTATTTATCTTGTGTGTTGATCCCCTCAATTCCCAGTTAGCTATTAAGCCCTTTTGTATCTACAGCAACTAGCAAACTGTCCCAGCCAAGTTATGATTAGGAAATACTGCTTTCAAGGTATCAGTTTTTATTGTAGCATTCTGAGAGGCAGTCAAAAGAGATTGGGTTTAGAGATATTGTAGCTGCAACACTTAGTTTTCTCACTAATAAGCTGTGTGACTAGACAAGTTACATAACCTCTCTGAGCCTCATTATCCTCAAAGATACTTACTTTATAGAGTTACTGAGTAATTAATTTAAATATAAAGGAGGGATAATGATGAAAACATCATGAACTTTCAATTTTCAGTTTGGCCACTTGTTAGTGGTAAGACCTTGGAACAAGTCAATAAACCTCTCTGAGCCCCAATTTTCTCTTCTATAGAATGGGGATAATACATGTCTCATTGGGTGTCATGAAAACCAATTAAGTAATAAATAATAGCTAACACTATAAAGTGCTTATTGCAAAGGTCTAAGAACTTTATATATGATTTATAAGCCTTAAAAACACATGTTATATTAATAGCTTTAGGTATTTTACTAACTTTAGGTAAGTAGAGGAAATGAATCTCTAACATATTGCTTAATGTTAGTTCATTGTTTTTTGTGTCCCTTAGGCTGACATTTTGGATGTCAATCAGATATTTAAAGATTTGGCTATGATGATCCATGACCAGGGTGATCTGATTGGTACGTATTATTAATCCCTTTAACATAAAGGTGAGTTGATAGTATTTGTGTGCAAAGAAGTCAGTAAAATGTGTCTTAGGAATTTAGGAATGCCATTTAAAAATCATTAAGTTCAATTCCTTACAATTTTCTTATGTTGTCAAATATAGACGTTAAAGTAAGGCCTCAATGAATATTCAGCTCCATTCACTTGCTATAGCCTCTTGGTAAGTATGGCTGTTTAGGAGAATAGCCGTCAGCTTCCCAGCTTTATTTCTAGAAACTTGTACAATTATGGGATTAGTAACTCCTTTGTAGAACTTTTTATTTGGAAATAATCTCGTTTCTAAAAAGTTGCAAAAATGAAAGTAACTACAAGGAATTCCCTTATAACCTTTGCCCAGAATAAGCTCTTGCTAACATTCTACCCCATTTGCTTTTATTTATTTATTTTAAATTTATTTTTTAATCTTTATTGATTTTAGAGAAAGAGGAAGGCAGAGGGAGAGACAGAAACATCGATTGGCTGCCTCCTGCATGTCCCCCACTGGGGATTTGGCCCACAACCTGGGCATGTGCCCTGACTGGGAATCGAACTGGTGACCTCTTGGTGCATCGGTTGACACTCAGCCACTGAGCCACACCTACCGGGCTACCCCATTTGCTTTTAATTTACTCTCACTCTTTCTTTCTATATAATGTGCTAAACAAAAAAAAAGTTTAACTTCCATGGCTGAAAGTCTTTTTTTGTTTTTTTAATCCTCACCCAAGGATATTTTTCCACTGATTTTCAGATACAGTGGGAAGGGGAGAGAGAGAGAGAGAGAGAGAGAGAGAGAGAGAGAGAGAGAGGGAGAGGGAGAGGGGAGAGGGAGGGAGAGAGAGAGAGAGAGAGAGGGAGAGGGAGGGAGAGAGAGAGAGAGAGAGAGAGAGAGAGAGAGAGAATATAACATCGGTGTGAGAGAGACACACCCATTGGTTGCCTCCCACACGACCCCAACCAGGGCTGGGGATCGAACACAACTGAGATACACACTAATTGCTGAGCCAAACCGGCCAGGGCATGTCTTTTTTTTTATCCTCACCTGAGGACACTTTTTTTGCATTTATCTTCAGATAGAGTGGGAGGGAGAGAGGGAGGAAGAGAGAGAAACATCGATGTGAAAGAGACACATCGAGTGGTTGCCACCCACACGACCCCAGTCAGGGCTGGGGACAAACTGTAACTGAGGTACGTGGCCCTAGCGGGAACCGAACCCAGGACTCTCTGGCCCATGGGCCAACACTCTAACCGCTGAGCCAAACCGGCCAGGGCAGGGCATGTCTTTTTAAAAGAAAAGAGTTTAGCCCTGGCCAGGTTGGCTCAGCAGTTAAGAGTGTCATACCACAGACCAAAGGTTCACAGGTTCGATTCCAGGTCAAACGCACATACCTGGGTTACAGGTTCAATCCCCAGCTGCAGTTGAGGTGCGTTTGGAAGACAGCTGATCTATGTGTCTCTCTCACATCTCTCTCTCTCTCTTTTTCTCTCTCTCTCTCTCTCTCTCTCCCCCACTCCCTCCCTCCCACTCTATCTAAAAATCAATGGAAAGAATATACTTGGATGAGGATTAACAAAAAAAGGGGGGGGCGGGGGTTTATTAGACCATTGCTAGCAAAAAAGACTGGTCTTGGGGCATGGAGTCTAAACCACCAGCAGCATGGCTAGGTAGAAAAGACAGCCTATGCATTGCTTCAGAGTTTTGCAAGCATTTTTATACATCATGTAGGGGGGAAGGGGAAGAAAGAGGTATTCTGAAAGAATTTACATGAGCTTTAGGCAAAGGAGTGGGAGAAGGTGACGCAGGGCTAGTTCTGGAGTAGGTGCAACAAAGTCTCCAAGGAAGAAGTATCCACTCCTGTGAATTAGCTATGGGCGTTAGATTGGAAAGTTTGTGTGTAAATAAGATGCAGAGGCTTCTGGGGTTCTATGGCACCTGGTTATTCTCTCTTTTAGATAATTGTAGAAATAGCCATCTGGAAATTAATCCTAAATTCCAACAGATATACACAAATGTGAGCTGTCTTTTGTCAGCTGGTCCATGGCTATCAACAGGTTAACTGTTGTGTCTCTTTCTCTTACTCTGTGACTGTTATAATTTTAATTTAGAACATCTTAGAAATTTTTTTCTTGTCATATGTGTACACATAATTTTTTCTGAACTATTTGTGGGTGAGTTGCATACTTCATAACCCTTTCCCATAAATACTCCAGTGTTTAGTTCCAAAGAATAGGGCTATTCTCTTATGGAATTAGTAATTTTTTGTTTTGTTTTGTTTGTTTTTGTTATCCTCACCCAAGGATTTTTTTTCATTGATTTTTAGAGAGAGTGGAAGGGAGCAAGGGATTGCCGGGCAGGGGGTGGGGGAAGACATCAATGTGAGAGGCACATGGATTGGTTTCCTCCCACATGTGCCCCAACCTGGCCAGGGATTGAACCTGCAAACCAGGTACTTACTCTTGATCAGCAATTGAACCCAAGACCCTCTGTTTAATGGCCTGATACTCTAACCACTGAGAACACTGGCCAAGGTAACTTTTTTGAAATTATTGATTTTAAAGATACAGGAAGGGAGAGGGAGGGAGAGACAGAAACACTGTTGTAATGAGAGAGAAGCATCTATTGGTTGCCTTCCATATGCACCCCAACTGGGGATCAGGTCTGCAACCCGAATCAAATTGGTGACCTTTCGGTGCATGGGACAGTGCTCAACCAAATGACCCACACTCATCAGGGCTGGAGTTAGTAACTTCTGATTTCATAGCTGGATAGTTGGAATGGTGATGGTGAAACCAGGACCTATAACATCAGAAGTTTGTTCAGTTTTCAGTTTTGAAACATCTGAGTTTTGTAAAACATCCACTGCCTTTCTTTTTTGCAGATAGCATAGAAGCCAATGTGGAAAGCTCAGAGGTACATGTGGAAAGAGCCACTGACCAGTTACAGCGAGCTGCTTACTATCAGGTAAAAGCAGGTACCAGAGAAAGTTACTCCATGCTACAGACTTTATGGGCCATTAGAATACACCAGTGATTTTCAACCTTTTTCATCTCATGGCACATATAAATTAATTACTAAAATTGTGCAGCGCACCAAAAAATATAAAATAGGTATAATTTAGGTGGGTTTTTTTCCTTTGTTTTTTTACCAAAACATAGTATTAATTTTTATTCATTCACACTGGATGGCTTTTGTTGTGTTGGCTGTAGTCATTTTTTTTTTTATCCTCACCTGAGGACATTTTTCCATTTTTTGTTCAGATAGAGTGGGAGGGGGAGAGAGAGAGAAAAACATCGACGTGAAAGGGACACATCGAGTGGCTGCCACCTGCACGACCCAACCAGGGCCAGGGACAAACTGCAACCGAGGTACATCCCTTTAGCGGGAACTGAACCCGGGTCTCTCTGGACAGCAGGCCGGCGCTCTAACCGCTGAGCCAAACTGGCCAGGGCTGGGAATGTTCTTAAAGAAATCTGTATTTAATAATTGTGTTTCCTTTTTTAAATTGAGTGATGACTTTAGTATCCAACAGAAAAAGGAATAATTAAGTAAATTATTTACATCCATTCAATGTTATATTATGTGGAAATTAAAGGAGATGTTTATGAAGAGTTTATAATAACAAAGTTTTTATGCTAAAGTGTTAAGTGAGAAAAACAGCGAACATCATACAGTTTGATCCCAATTATATCAGGTAACAATTTGCATAGATAAATGATCAGGAGGAACTATCAAAATGTCAACAGTTTTATCTGTGGGTGATTGTTTTCTTTCTGCTCGTCTGCATTTTTTACATTGAACATACAATTTTGTAATAGGTATAAATATATTATATTTATTAATATATACATGCACAAATAACTTATTGCACATAATACCTAGCAGTATTGCTATAAGAGTTCTTTTGCTAAATTTGGGAGCTTGAAATTAAAATTTGTGCTACTACCTAGCTCTGGTAACTTAAGGTTTTGGGCAAGTCTCTGTGTATTCATTCATGGATAGAGTTGATTTTGAATTACCAGGAAGCAGATTTATGAAGCACTCTTGGAATAAAAAATTGTACTTGTTTCATGAATGTCTTCTGTACATATTTCTCTTCTCAGAAAAAATCTCGCAAGAAGATCTGTATCCTTGTGCTTGTCCTGTCAGTGATCGCTGCTATCTTTGGACTTATTATGTGGCTAGTTTATGGAAAGTGATTGCCTCAGAGCCTTCTCCCACGGAACTGTTTTCAAGGGCAAGTGCTTGCTGGAGTCTGCCAGAACAAACTGATCACAGAAGAGAGCATCCATCAGAACATCCTGTAATAATTTAGTTAGAAACTAACTACTAACCAGTCCTTGGAATTAGTGACCTATGGAGATAGTATTTATCAATTTATGTATACATTTTATTGATTTATCAAATTAGGAATTAATTTATGTGGATTTTGTTTTCTCTTCTCTTCTGATTACCCTTCATTTCAAAGGTTCACTGAAAATTCCATTTTAGATATTCTTGTTTTAACAGGTGACACTACAGTCTTGTAAATTGTCTTTTTATGTGTATATAAGCTTTGCCTTTTTTACTAGCAACTGATATAGAATTACTTTTTGGCACCCAGCATATTTGAATCTGTCAGAAACTGTGTAATAAGCCAGCAGTTTTTATTGTTTAACATTTTAATTTAAATTTGTAAGAATCCTATTCTTTATCTGCTTTGAAAGATTTTGGTAATGTATTTAACTAGAAAGTAAACATTGCACGTGATCCAGATTGAATGAGAAGTATCTATTTGAGCTGGCCAGTTGTGGAGGTACATGTTAATCTGGATTTAAAGTTTCTTTTATTATCTGCTAGTGTCATCTGCAGCAGTTCATCTATATACACACTAAAACATTATGTTCACTTTTTGAATAGATTAATTTAATTAACATTGCTGTACTCCAAGGAGTTCCTCTCCCACCTGCTTGTAAAGAAAGGGATAATAAGACAAAGCATGCTTTTGGAAAGCAAATAGGAGTTGTTTGGAATGATTTAATCCTTTTGTTGTTGTTGTTCAGTTGTGGTTCTGCATTCCTGGTGAATGATGAATGTTGCTGTCAAAATGCTGTCCCGCCCTTAATAAGGTTTGCTGGGCATTTGATGGCAGGAAGATTTTAAAAGCTAGACTGAAGTTGCTTTAAAATTTAGTCCTGTGAACCTGGCGATAAAGCAAAGAAAAGGTTCATTTTTGTAAACAATACTAGTTTGGAATAGTGATGTTAGACTTATCTTAATTTATGAACAAGAAATTAATCTCTCCATGCATAGTTTTAGACAAAAAAAAAAGTTTCAATAAAAGATTGTTGTATTGTAATATAAATATTGTTCACTTACCTTTTTCACAGGTCTAGAATAGTTAAAGAGAATGTAATTTCTTTAGGCTCTCACATAAATGTGAATTGGGCCAACAATTTTAGTTCATCCGTTAGTGAATTAGAGAATTTGACTACCCTGGATATATTTATATCAGTTTCTTCCACTCTTTTTAATGTTACTTAATCTTCTTTTACTAAACTAATGTGAACAGTAGGGAAACAAGGGCCCAAATGCATAAGTTTCTTTGCACTCTTGCACCATTCTACCCACCTAATTCAAATAAACATTTAAAAAACTTTTGTAGTAAGTTATTATGAGTTAACATCCTAATGCTGTAGCAATTAGATAATGTGCCGTCCGTTAGAAAAATTGAGTCCTGCAAGAAGACTGGAGATCAGGGGAGGATTGGTTTGGGGGTGGAATGGATGCTGCTGCAGTCCCTTCCTTGAAAAGCAAGATAGAGCTATTGGGGTGTCACAGTGACCCAAGTAGCTGCTTCAGAGCCCATATTTTGGTTCTGTGATCACTGCCCCTTAAGCTCCAAATTCCAGCTGAACTTGGGTACATCATTTGTAACATTCCAGGCAAGAAAAAGTGTTGATTGTGAAAAACTATTTTCAGGTTGGGTAAAATGAAGCCACCATAGTCCTGTTCTATAATATTGTGTAACCCAGAGGTAGTGGTAATAGTGGCCAGAGGTAGCAAATAGAATTTGAATGGCCTGGAATTCTTGGCCTAGAATTTGAATGGCCTGGAATTTGTGGCAGTTGCCAAGGAGTTCTGCTAGATGGTCCTGAAAAGCTATTCATAGAATTTTTAACTGTGTTTTGTTCATCAGTGGGACACCATGGTCTAGGAAAATTGCTCTTAACCATGGCTTCACGTTAGAAACTTAGAAAATTACTGATACCTGGGTGCCCCTGACACAAGATTCTAATTTAGTTTGGAATATAGCCTAAGCATAGGGACTTTTAAAAGCTCCAGACAATTAATGAGAACCATTGATTTGGAGGTCAAAAACTAGACTAAGGTACTGAAGGCCTGGATTAGCTCTGCCATTAACTTGCATAGGTATTTGGACAAGTCGTTTAACCCATATATCCCAAGCTTTCTCAACTCTCTTCTAGCTGCAAAATTCTCTGATTATAAGGACCACAGGAGTTTGGTCCAAACAAGCAAATTCTGTTTGCCTCTATATTCCTTTTCTTTTCCTCTTCTCTTTCCTATATGGAATGTTCTAGAAGTACTAGACAGATCTAGCATTCTCTGTTCAAGTGAATTAAAATTGTAGTACTGTATATGGTAAATTAGAAATGTCAGGCTGGCTACTTTCTCTAGGAATGTATTGGAACAAGAATTTGCCAGGTGCTAGACTGATGCTTCTAGAGTAGGTTTGTTTTGTTTTGCTAAGGGGTGGTGATACACTGCCTTACGATGGGGCAAAAATATCAAAATGAAATTATCGTTCAGTCAGTGCAAAGTAAAACACCCTGAGTGTCCTCCATTCAGTATTTTGTTGTTGTTCATCCTCACCTGAGAGTATTTTTCCATTGATTTTTATTTTTTTTTATCCTCACCCGAGGACAATTTTTCCATTTTTTGTTCAGATAGAGTGGGAGGGAGAGAAAGAAACATCAACGTGAAAGGGACACATCGAGTGGTTGCCACCCGCATGACCAACCAGGGCCAGGGACAAACTGCAAACGAGGTACATGCCCAAAGCGGGAACAGAACCCGGGTCTCTCTGGACCGCAGGCCAACGCTCTAACCACTGAGCCAATTTGGCCAGGGCTCCATTGATTTTTAGATGGAGTGGAAGGGAGGGAGGGAGAGAGAGAGAGACATTGATGTGAAAGAGACACATCAATTGGTTGCCTCTCGTACTATCCCTGCCTGGACTGGGGCTCGAACCTGCAACCCACGTACATGACCTTGACTGGAATCAAGCCCTTGACCCTTTGGTTCACGGTCAGTGCTCTAACTGCTAAGCCAAACTAGCCAGGGCTCCTCCATTCAGTTTTGGTTTTCTTCTTTTCAGAGGCTGTCCTCAGTCATGGGAATAAAGCTTTTGCTTTTGGTTAATACAGACCAGAATCTAGTTCAGGTTTCAGTCTGTCCTGTTTCCTAGGGCTAGAAATCACCTGCTTTCTTCTGACGTTTCTAAGCATGTTTATTTTATCCTTAGGTTTCAGAGAATTTTTCAGTATTGCCTTTAGTGCTATGAAACACAACTACTTTAAAATCTCCATTTACCCAGGAAACAGTTTGAAAGGTTTTGATTCCCAACCCCTGATCCTACTTTTAAGCCAGTTGAATATTTCATTTAAAATACTTATCCAAAATGAAATTTGATTGACAATGTAGCACTTAATTATTATTTTTTATTTTTATTTTTATTTTTTTGCATTTATCTTCAGATAGAGTGGGAGGGAGAGGGGAGGAAGAGAGAGAGAAACATCAATGTGAGAAAGATACATGGACTGTTCGCCACCCACATGACCCCAACCAGGGCCAGGGACAAACTGCAACTGAGGCACATGCCCCTAGCGGGAACCGAACCCAGGACTCTTCTGGTCCCGACACTCTAACCGCTGAGCAAAACTGGCCAGGGCTCTTTTTAAATTTTTTTTGTTGTTGTTACAGATGTTTCTCCTTTTTTCCCCATTGACACCCTCCTACCAATCTTCCCCTCCACCCCCGCTCTTTTTTTTTCTTTAAAAACATTTTTTAATTGATTTTAGAGAGAAGGGAATGAGAGGAAAAGAGAGAAACATGGATCTGCTGCCTCCCGCACACCCCCTAGTGGGGATCAGCCCTGAAACCCAGACATATGACCTTACTGGAATTGAACCAGTGACCTTTTGGTGCATGGGATGACACCCATCCAACAAAGCCACACCGGCCAGGACAGCACTTAATTTTTAAAGATAAACTTGAAATAATATAATTTTTAATGCTGGACTGTGATTAAGGACCAAGCTTTTACCAGTCCATGGAAAAATGAGAAAAATGACATACTAGGCTTTTTTAAGTACCATCTTTGAGGCTGAGCTAATGATCTTTAAACTTTTTCCAATTTTTTTTCTTTATTGATTTTAGAGAGAGAGGAAGGGAGAGGGAGAGAGAAACATTGATGAGAGAGAACATCGATTGGCTGCCTTTTGCATGTCCACCACTGGGGATTTGGCCCACAACCTGTGCATGTGCCCTGACTGGGAATTGAACTGGCAACCTCTTGGTGCGTGGGTCAATGCTCAACCACTGAGCCATACTGGCCAGGGACCTTTCAACTTTTTAAAAAGGATATTTCAAGATTATAAAAATGAAAAGGTGGTGATGTTAGTTGGCAGTATTCATTTTTAAATCTACTTAGTTGGCAAAATAAAAGTCGACATTCCTATACATTTTTTTCCTGGTCCATGACATCTCTAACGTCTGAACCATTCATTTAGATTAACATTACTTTACAGCTGAAGAAGTTGAGGCCAGGAATGGCAGTCTGCTACAGGAATTGAAAGGCTTAAGGAAGTGTTCTACATTTGAATGGTCATATGTAGGGTAATATTTGAGTTCTTGCTACCAGAAATTTACTATGCTAAATGTTAAATGTTTTACATTTTATATTTAATATCTCATACCCACAAAACCATCTAGATTTTTCTTGTCCTATTTTTATGGATTAGGAAAAGGAGGTATAGTAAGTAACCTGCTCATGGGCACACAGTTTAGGAGTGATGGAGCCAGGATTTGACTCAATCACTCAGACTTCAAAACCACATCTTTAGATACTAGACATTGTCTCTACGCATCACTGATACAAGCTATCCTACTCACCATCTCTTTCATGAAGCTTTCTCTAAATATCTGGAGTAGCGGCAGTTTCTACCCAATTTTTCATGAATACCTTTTCTTTTGTCAGTACCTTGTGAACTTTTCATTGACCATCCTGATAAATGAAGCCTCCTGCTTGTACTATATACACACAGTTTTTTCAGTGTCTCCATTTGATCACTTTGTTTTTAAGACAGTTTTCTGACATCTATATGCTCCTAATATCTTTAGGTTTTATTCTAAGGAAGTCTCAATGTCTAAGAAATTAATCTGTCTTTGTTGAGATACCAAAATCCAAAAGCAGCTAGACTATCAGTCTTTCCATTTCAAAAGGTTGAGTCTAGACTGCTGCCCTCCAATTTGCTGAACTATACTGACATCATTTGTGCTCAAACAGAGCATTTTGCTTTATAAGGCCTAGGTAAGTATAAGGTGCCATTACATCACAAGGCAGTGTGAGTATCAGCTGTGCTGAAGGCAGAGAACACGACCAAAGAGTAAAAAATTATTAGGGTAAGAATATAGCTTTAGGTTTCTTGGGTGTATAGTCAGCAATAGAGGGATTAAATAATGGACCACACACAAGCTGAGAAATTAAAAGGCAAAGTTGACAATAGATGTTATCTGGTCACTCACAGCTAGAAATGGTTTCAACCACATCTCATGCCTGAAAGGGGCATGGAAATTCAAAGGCTGGCACAATCTCTGTAGTAAAAAAGGAACTTGTTCTTTTCTGTTACTTAAAACTTGACACTATTTAATTCCTTCTTAAGAATCATATCCTTGTGCTCAAAAGGAGAGAGTCATAGCCTGTTTTCTTGAAATCAAGTTTAGAATTTGTATTTTCTCCATCAGCCCAGTCTTTGGAATAGCAAGACTGGAAAGGAGGATATTAACAGGTCATTTGATAAGTCATCTGACCAGTTAAAATCCTTGCTGGATGAGTTTATTGTGCTTTTGAAGGCCAAGAGGAAAGTGATTCTCCTACCTGCCTGAGAGTTGATCATTTTAAAATCCAAGTTAGCATTATATTGCAATTAAATCTAGATCCCTGGATGCCAGCTGGTGTGGCTCAGTAGTTGAGTGTGGACCCGTGCACCAAGAGGTCACTGGTTGTGAGCCAAATCCCCAGTGGGGGGCATGCAGGAGGCGGCCAGTTGATGTTCTCTCTCATTGATGTTTCTCTTTCTCCCTAAAAAAAATCAAGAAAATGAAATTTTTTTAAATAAAAAATAAATACTGATCCCTGGAGATGTCATCAAAGGCAAAATCTTTTGAACAGGCTGATGTTCAATTTAAAATCTAGAGAACCAGTAGCAAAGGAATCAAGAAAAAATTCCTGATCATGTGCAGTGCCTCCTTCTGATGTAATTCATTTCTTTTTCAATTCATTTCTTTAAAAAAGAGAGAAAAACATGTCAGGTAGCCCATGCTTTCTACAAAAGTGAAGTGTTGGGCATCAGTTGCATGAAGTAAATATAATCGTATTAACATCTAATTGTGAGAGACAGTGGTGATTAAAGAGTATGGCCTTTGGCATCATACAGATTTAGGTTTGAATTCCACTCACCGCTCATTTTAGGGTGAGGCTGGGCAACTCAATCTGGGCCTCCTCTCAGGGATTATACCTCTCTCAAGAGTGAGGATTAAATGAGATGATCCATATAAAATACCTACTTGCCCAGAGAAGTAAGAATCCAACAGACAAAGCCATTATAAACAGAGGCCCTGCTGATGGTCTCTTTCAGCCATCTGTTGGCCTAGGACAGGCCTGAATCTTAATGCTCCCTTTCATGCTGTAGTCATCGTGACCAAAATGTGAAAGTCTAAAGAGGTCACAACTTGATTAACCGTTGAAGATGTGTACGTCTGCCTTCTGATTGGTTCCTTCCTGGCTCCAGCTTGTCCAGACTTTTCATAAACGAACTAGATGACCCCCTAAAGCAGACTCCCAGATAATACACATTAGTCCACAAGGTCCAGATCTGGATTAGGAAGGGGAGGTGAGCATGCAGCTCTGCAGAGAAGAGCCAGATGAGAAACAGATTGAGTGATCACTGCAATCTCTGAGCTCTGTCCTCTTGCTTCTCTCTAGATTGGGGTGCAAGTCTGTAGCAAGCATGGGAGTCAAGCTTTTGGGGGGGGGGGTTCAAGCTTTAAGAGCTCAGCAGTGTTTGCAGGAGGACGTAGGGGGGAGACCACCCATCCTTACAAGCACCTTTACCTCAGAAACCTCCCAGCCATGGAAAACCCTAGTCTTCGGAGACACTTCCAGGGAAGGCCAACTGTCTCAAACATTGACAAACACTTCAAGATCGCACCCTCGTCTCCATCATCACTAAAAGTGCCCTGTACGTGCGTGCGTCCGTGCGTCCGTGCGCGCGCGCGTACGCACAGGCCACTGGGATGCCGCTTCTCCCCTCTGAGTCTTCCAGTTTCCCGGCGTGCTTCGGGCCCGCCAAATGGGAGGGGGAGACGCAAGATGGCGGCAGCCACGAATTCCGGCTCCAGCCTCCCGCTGTTCGACTGCCCGACTTGGTGAGTGGTGGGGCGGCCAGGGCTGGAGTGGCCTGGGCTGTCCTGGGCTGTTCGGGCGGCTTCTTTCTCGCAGCAGGCCGAACGGTTCAGACATCTTGGGATGACTGAGGGAGAACAGTTCGTCAGGCCGGCGGCGTGTGGAGGAACGGGGAGCCCGGGCCCAAGCACTGAGGAAACCCAGAGTTGGGATCTCTGAGGCGCTCGCTTACGCAGCCCTTCCGGCAATCGGCCGGTTGCCTGGGCGCCTCGGGAACGCGGCCCTGAACTTACCTCAACTCCTGACTGAATGCCTAGAGCTCTTGTGGAGCACCGTACCTGCCCCCCTGCTCTCTGTCCCGAACGCGCACGAGCTGGCTTCCCGGCCCTAGCCCAGCCTCAGGGAACTGTGTCCCTCTGTTGTGCTGCACCCGGTCCAGTGCTCGTCTCTCGAAGACTGGGAGCTCCCAGAGCAGGGACGGCTCTGACCCACCCCTGCCTTCTCAGCGACCAGCGCGAAGCCGGGCACGAGTGGGCATCAGTAATTGTTGGAAGGAGCCCTTTCATCCCTTCTCAGGGTCTCGGGAATGATGGAATAATTTAATATAGTCTTTGAGTGGAGTAGAAGATGAATCATTAGGAATTGCCTTGTAAGAAGGCCTGACTTAGAGCTATTTCTGCTGTAACTCACCAAAGTGTCCTGTTTATGTTACTCTTCTCTACCTCCCGTTATATTGAAATCGTCAAGGGCAAGGACTGTCTGATGCATCTTTATGTTACAGCTCCGAGGCCTTAGCCAGGCACATAGTAGGAGTTTAGCAAGCATGTTTGGGATGTAACATTGCTTCCCCTGTTTCCCCTACAAAATGGGCTTTTGTCCGATGCACTGTCCTTTCAGCAACTGCCATAGAGGAGTTGGGGCAGGATTGTGAGGTGACTATGTTGCATCTTCAAATTAGACGGACAGATACATTTTTGTATGCTTTTTTTTTTTTTTTTTTGTATGCAAATATAAGGACACTGGCAAGAATGTTCTCTTTTTTTTCCCCCCAAACTTCAAAGGAGCAAACATAGGAAGCAAATGAATTATGGCTGTTTTCTGGGACCCTTTGCATTTTTGTAGCATCCAGTTGCTTCAGTCTACAAATATTTTTGTCCATTTTGGTTTCCTGCTTCATTGATTTCAGAGGTTGGACCAGGATGGTAAACTTACAGTTAGAAGAGACAGGTCACCTACCATTTCCTCGGTCTTTTATGCACCAGCTACTGTGTTAGGTGCTTTGACATGTGTATCCCTCTTGAATGCTATGGTTATAGAAATATAGAGGAAAAATTCCCTTAAACAAGCCATTATAGAAAAGCTTGTTCAAGGTTAAGAAACATCTATTGTATTTATTGTTACCTGCTTTCATGGACATGATGTTGGATTGCCCTAACTCCTTAATTATGTGCCTCTGATTTGGTCTCAGAGTTCAGAGCTCTATTTATTCTGTGATGAGACTAATCTTGATCAGCTCAAAACACCAACTGATTTATTCAAACTTTTTTTTTTTTTTTATCCTCACTCGAGGACATTTTTTTTTTATATTTTGTTCAGATAGAGTGGGAGGGAGCGAGAGAGAGAGAAACATCGACGTGAAAGGGACACATCGAGTGGTCGCCACCCACACAACCCAACCAGGGCTGGGGACAAACCGCAACCGAAGTACATGCCCTTAGCGGGAACCGAACCCGGGTCTCTCGGGACCGCAGGCTGACGTTCTAACCGCTGAGCCAAACCGGCCAGGGCGATTTATTCAAACTTTTATATGCTGTTAGCAGTCGTTGCAAAGCTTAGTTTCAAACTCAAATGATCAGACTACCCCAGAGTCCTTGCACTCTGTGCTGCTTTCTTTCTGAGGTAGATATCCAATGTTAAAATATAGGTTTCTTTGGTGCTGCTCCAAATACAGATCCATTAAAATCTGTTTTAGAGCAATTGAATCACTGGGGAAGTAAGTGTCAAACTTAGAAAGGAGCTGTAATAGCAGTGAAGTAGATGACATTTCTGCTTGAACATGAACTAATTATAGGCTGGTAGGAGAGCTGCAGTGTTGAATGGGACGGTAATTGTAAATGGCATTTACGAACTCATCCCAAATATGCTTTTTCCTTCTTATTTTTCAGGGCAGGTAAACCCCCACCTGGATTACATCTGGATGTAGTCAAAGGAGACAAATTAATTGAGGTATGGAGATGTCTTCCCTTTTTTCCTCCACCACACTAGATTTTTATACTGACTCACTTTTCCACCCCCTCTCCTGTGCTTTGTTTTCCAGCAAAGCTACTTTCGTTCGTCCTGATTTATTTTTTCTGTTAAAATCGCATGGTGATATAACACATTCAAACCTCTTATCTCCCACTGACACTCAGTTTTTTATGACTTCTCTCACCTTTTTTTTTTATCCTCACCCGAGGACATTTTTTGATATTTTGTTCAGATAGAGTGGGAGGGAGGGAGGGAGGAAGGGAGGGGGGAAGAGAGAGAGAGAGAGAGAGAAACATCGACGTGAAAGGGACACATCGAGTGGCTGCCACCCACACTACCCAACCAGGACCGGGGACAAACTACAACCGAGGTACATGCCCTTAGCGGGAACCAAACCCGGGTCTCTCCAGACCGCAGGCCAACGCTCTAACCGCTGAGCCAAACCGACCAGGGCAGCTTCTCTCACCTTCTAAATGAAGGGTTTTAATAGATCATGGACCTATGGGCCCTAATCCAACTGGAAGCCCTATAACTTGGTGAATTCCCACTCTTTGAGTATACGGAGTTGTGTGAAAGGTGCAAGATATGCAATAACTGAAGAAGAAAGTGAATGATGTAGATTGAGTTTAACTTTTAAGTTGCTTTTATGGTATTCAGGCCTAAGCCCTTAAAAGAAGAGAATGGAATGGTGTTGGGATTCATTTATTTATTCAAAACATTGAATGCTTAACTGTGTTCCAGTCATTGTGCTAGGCATAGGGAGGGACTACAGTAGTGGACACAACAAACATGGTTTTGGTCCTCAAAGAAATCATCCGATCTCTTGCTCTTGCTCATTTGACTCAGCGGCTGGAGCTTCGGCCCGCGTGGGAAAGACACACCACATAAAAAATTACATGAAATAAGCACTATAAAGGAAAACTTTAGCAGAATTCCAGATTTTGTGCAAATCTCTAGAATGAACACCACAAAGAACTTAAAGGGAAGATAAATTTTGATTAGTTATTAAGTTGTATAAGATTTTGTTTTTTAATGCTCACCTGAAGATATTTTTTTCATTTATCTTCAGATAGAGTGGGAAGCAGGAAAGGAGGGGGAGAGAGAGAGAAACAGGATGAGAGACATGTTGATTGGTTGTCTCTCGCATGACCCCAACCGGGGCCAGGAATGAACTGCAACCGAGGTATGTGCCCTTGGTCAAAATTGAATCCACAACTTTGTTCTGCAGGCCTATGCTCTAACCACTGATCAAAACTGGCAGAGCTGTAAGATATTTTTATTTTTTAATTCTTATGGCACCATTTATTTAAAAGAAATGGAGGTTAAGCCTGCTGTGACCATGGAGCTCTGAGTCTCCATGTCTTATACCAATTTTGTTTGCTTGCTCAGATATAATTTAGGTTCAAGGTCCCACTTTTGAGTGCAGTTGTTTTTATTTGGTATATATAGTAAAAATATATCATTCCATTGTTGAAAAGCTGTGTGTGAGATTTCCTGAATGATGATCTGTAAATATATTGTTGTCACTTCAGGATGTTGTAGAGATACCCCAGTATTTTACAAAGTATTAAGACTTGAGCTGCGATTAATTTTTTTAAATTAATTCATCATGCCCTAACCCAGTCAGTTTCGAACCCCGTTGTTATGAGTTCTTCTGTCTTTTTATTTTTTTTATTTCATTTATTTTTAATTTTAATTTAATTTTATTTTTAATTTTTATTGGGGTGGCATTGGTTAAAAAAATTATTTAGGTTTCAGTTGTATAATTTTATAATACATCATCTGTATAGAGCTCTTCTACCTTAAAAGTTATAAAACATCAAGATTATTCAATGAAATAATTTTACTAAAATGTGTGTAAAATCTTATTTATTATAGACTGTCCCACAGATATAAAATATTATTGCTGAATAGCATGAAGCTTTGCCCTGGCTGGTTTGGCTTTGTGGTTAGAGCATCAGCCCGTGCACTGACAGGTCACTGGTTCAAGTTCTAGTCAAGGGGACATACCTGGGCTGCAGGTTCGGTCTCCAGCCTTAGTTGGGGTGTGTGTGGGAGGCAACCAATCAATGTGTCTCTCACATAGATGTTTCTCTCTCTCTCTCTCCCCTTCCCTCCACCTTCCCTTCCTCTATAAAAATCAATGGAAAAAATATCCTCCAGTGAGGATTAAAAAACAAAATAGCCCATCCATTGTGGCTCAGTGGTTGTGTGTCGACCCGTGGACCGCTAAGGTTGCTGGTTTGATTCCTGGTCAGGGCACATGCCTGGGTTGCAGGGTCAGTCCCCAGCAGGGGGCATGCAAGAGGCAGCCAATTGATGTTGATATTTCCCTCTCTCATCGATGTTTCTATCTCCCTCTCCCTTCCTCTCTCTCTGAAATCAGTAAAAACGTATTTTTAAAAAAATAGCATGAAGCTTTGAAGACATAAGAATCTATGTTTTTAACCAGAATTTAGTAAATCTTCAGTTTGCAGTAGGAAGAAACAGAAAAGGAGTCCTAGCCTTAATGATGATATCATATTCCTTTGTGAAATAATTTATATTTTTAAAGCGCTCTAAGTTGTCAGACATAGTTTCCATGAACTGATAATGTTCTCTGTCTTTTGCTCTTAGGTGTGCTGAGTTGCCACACAATTGTTAAGTTACGATCTTTAGACATTACTGTGCTGTTTCTGAGAGGAATCGATCTGAGATGTGCTTATTTTTAAGGATTTAGGCAGCACTTGATACTAACCGAGCTATCTATATCCTAGCCTTGTGTCAGAGGCTTGTGATATGTTGTGATAGCTGGGTTTAAGAAGTGCAATATTAAAACAAAAGTCATGAGTCTTTTTAGCCCAGTGTGTAAAGAGACACACTGAGTTATTACTCAGTGGCACAACTGGATAATGGTACTAGGCATAGCTAGTCAAGAAATTGTGGCTTTAGTGACTATTGAAAGACCAGGCTTTATTTTATTTACTTGGACAGAAGAAGCACATTGTCCAGGAGTTTACAAATTTCCTTAATTCTAAGACATACTATTTTTTTTTTTTTTGCTACATTTTCATGTTTCTGTAATTGAAATGCCTTTAATAATTAATGTATATATTTAATTTGGAGGCCCTTTTGCTTTTCTCCCCTCTTTAAACACCTAGATCTCTGGTACGCCTTCGGCACCTTAGAATCTTGGAAATTTGGTCAGTATTATATTAGAACCCAAGAGCTGGTAGTCTTATATACTGTTTCCTTGAAACTATCCAATGGGCACTATAGTTAGCAAATTTAAGTTTGTGAGAGCATAATCTTTGTGCATATAAATATGAATGAGAAATGCAGTGAGATTCAACCTGTACATATATTACCTAGAGAGAATAAGATGTTGACGTTTCAGACCTCTCAGTTCTAAAGCAATGTCTTATATTTAACCCGTCTTAAAACTTAAGACTAAGCAGACATGGGGATGATTGTCTTATTGAGTTGTCAGGCTGTTAAATCTTGGTGCTGCCTAGCAGTATAGTATGACCCTGGAACAAGCCTTGCCAGTAGCAGATGGGCTCTACTGGACAGGGTTTCCCAGAGATGACCCACGTATCTATACTAGTTTGAACTAATTGAACCTTAAGGCTAAGCTGGAAAGAAACCGGGTAAGTGATTGTTTAAAGAAAAATTAAGAGTGTGGCCCTTAGTATTTGTTTACTCGTTAAAATGTTCCTTCCCATTTGGTGCATTTTTTTATGTAGAGTGTTGAAAATATACAATATGGTTAAAAGCGCTTAGACTCTGAAGTCCGACAGAATTGCTGTTTGAGTTTCTAATTCAGCTTATAAATATCTAGCTGTGTGAACTTGAATGTGTTAATTTCTTTATGCCTCAATGTTGTCATTTATAAAAATAGTAATAATAGTACCTACCCACCTCACCAGAGTGGTTCTGAAGGTGAAATGACAGCATAAAACTCATATCACAACGTGTGGCACATATAAGTTCTCAGCAGTTGTTACTGTTATCAGTGCATGAGGTATATTTCTGGTTGTGTAAAGGGAACATGAGAATAGTAGCCCACTGTGAGTTCAATGACATAGCCAGGAATGAAATATAAACCTCTTGATTCCTAGCCTAGTACTATACTATGCTTCTCTACTCAGCTTTGTGCTGTCTTCTCTCAGGGATTTTAGAAGGAGTATCATGTGAAACGAACTAGAGCTTAATGAGACCTTATAAGGTTTTCCTTTAAAGGAAAAACATCAGCCCTGGCCTGTTTGGCTCAGCGGTTAGAGCGTCGGCCTGCGGTCCGGAGAGACCCGGTTTCGGTTCCCGCTAAGGGCGCGTACCTCGGTTGCAGTTTGTCCCCGGCCCTGGTTGGTCGTGCGGGTGGCAACCACTCGATGTGTCCCTTTCGCATCGATGCGCGCTCTCTCTCTCTCTCTCTCTCCTGCTCTGAAAAAGTGTCCTCGGGTGAGGATAAAAAAGAAAGGAAAAACATCATATATCTGAATAAGGGTTATTCTTTAAAATGGTCAAATTGTAGACTTTTAAAACTGGAAGAAGTGCCTGGCCAGTTTGGCTCAATGGATTGAGCATCATCCCATGGACTGAGAGGTCCCGATTCGATTCCCAGTCAGGGCAGATGCCCGGGTCGCTGGCTGGATCCCCAGTTGGAGGGCATGCAAGAGGCAGCTGATCGATCTCTTAGCTGTTTCTATCTCTCTCTGTAAAAAATAAGAACATATTTTAAATAAATAAAACTGGAAGAAGTGTTAGCAAAAATTTATCTTGAGTCATCTATGACAGTCCAGTCTGTAACCAGATTGTGTCAGGGTTTACTGATCCAGGATTAGAAGAAAAAATAAGGGCAGTGTAGTGAGTTTTTCATAAAGGTAAATTCAGCTCAGAGTATTTCAAAAGTGCTCTGGGGCTATGATGGCATGATTAGAATGTAGATAGTGTTTATACCCCCCTTCCTTTTCTCTAACCAGTTGGTAATTTTCCTTTGTATAATTTGTCTTCTGAAAAACAGTCTTAACCTTTTTTTTTTTAAATATGTTTTTATTGATGTTTTTAGAGAGAGAGGAAGGGAGAGAGAGATAGCAGCTGCACAACCCCTACTGGGATATGAACCTGCAACCTGGATGTGTGCCCTGACTGGGAATCAAACCCAGACTACTCAGTCCATGGGACGACACTCAATCCACTGAGCCACACCAGTCAGGCAAAAAACAGTCATAACTTTATAGATATGCTTTGTGTTCTTATTTCCTGCTTGATCTAAAATTAAGATCCATTGAAATCTTAAATTTCCAGTGGACAGGCGACGATCCCTTTTGCAGGTCACTTTTATCTAATTGAATTAGAACAAGACTTAGCCAGTGTGGCTCAGTGGTTGAGTGTGGACCCACGCACCAGGAGGTTGCCGGTTCGATTCCTGGTCAGGGCACATGCCCAGATTGTGTGCCAAATTCCCAGGGAGGGCATGCAGGAGATGGCCACTCGATGTTCTCTCTCATTGATGTTTCTATCTCTCTCTCCCTTCCTCTCTAACATAAATAAAGGAAGAAGAAGAAGAAAAAAGAATTAGAACAAGTTCTTTTTATATCAACACTAGACATTTGATCACTATATTTGGGGAAATTAATTGTCATCTACCCCTCAAAATGTTAGTAAATTATTCTAAGCTCTTTTTTTTTTTGGTACGTGCCCATAGCGGGAACCAAACCCGGGACTCTCTGGTCTGCAGGCTGATGTTCCACCCGCTGAGCCAAACCGGCCAGGGCAAATTATTCTAAGCTCTTTATCTTGAAGAATAATAGGAAGTAATTTTTTTTCACCTTGGCAAGGAATTTTATCTATTCAAGATCCTCTACTATATTTATTTGATTGGAAGAATTTTTGCTAAACCCTGTTGCAACTATTTAATATTTAATTTAATGTTTATTTAGAAACTGATTATTGATGAGAAGAAATATTACTTATTTGGGAGAAACCCTGATTTGTGTGACTTTACCATTGATCACCAGTCTTGCTCTCGGGTTCACGCTGCCTTGGTCTACCACAAGCATCTGAAGAGAGTTTTCCTAATAGATCTCAACAGTAGTAAGTAACTCACATCCCATCCTATCTCATATATTTCTTTTGGGCAATGTGAAAGTGTTCTTTAAGTTCCTCAGTTTCAAAATTGTGTTTTATTATTCATCAAGGAAGAAGTTTACATTTGGTTTTTAAATCAGCCCTTCTCAATTCCTGTGATATCGCCTATTTTCCTGAAGTAATTGATGACTGGAGAGGAAGAGGGTTTTGGGGAGGACTGTCCTGAGGAGGCAATAGGTATATATAGAGAAAAACAACAGCAAAAACACTTAGGAGCTAGGGACTATGGGTATCCAAGTGTTTACAGGACCACAATAAATTGTGGTCATCCGATATGAAACTGTGATTAGCTCTATTAATATAATGGAGCGGTGGTGCCAGATATTTTTTTTTAAAAAGACTTGTTTTGAACAAAATTTAATTTTTTTATAATGGGTTCTTTATCCCAGCTACATTCTGCTTTGATCACTAATAATATCAATTTTAATTTCATGAACATACTTCAACTAAAGATTATCAACTTTGCCAAAGGTAATCCCAGAAATGCAATTGGGACTTAACTGCATGGAGCCCTGAAGTTTGTTCACTTTTCCCATATATAAATACAATGTAAAATGTAAAGGATCCTGCTTTCTGTGCTGACCATGTTCTCCTTCCCTGCTTTTCCAATGCAGACCCCTCTCCAGTTTGCTGATATAATGATTTTGGAGAGCCTTGTCTCACAAGTGCTTGCAAATTTATCTCATCTTTTCTCTCCATTTTATAACATGCAGAATGCAGACATGGAAAAATATTCAGACTCTGCCTTAGGATTTTGGCTTGCTTTGGCATTTATATTGCACCTGTTTTAGCCAGCCTCCTTTCTTGTCCTGGGGAAAACCCAAGCATAACTGCCACCAGGGCCTGTGTTCCTTAGACATGGGGCTAGAGAGGTCAAACCACAGCGATGCCTGTCTCCTCCTTGGGTGGCATGGTCATTGCTGGGTTGGAGCCATTCTTGTTGGACCCAGAATGGAGCCAAGCCTGTCTGGCAGAAGAGAGCAAGCAGTGGTATTTGTTATGTAGGGTAACAGCAGGTCTGAAGATGTGTAAGAATTCCACTGAAGAGATTCAAGACTCAGTGAAGGAGTTTTCCTTTTCATTGTGACCCATGACAAGGGATGGAAAGTGGACCCACTGTCATTTTCATTTTAAAAAGCAGAACTGATATGCTGGGAGGAGCTGCTCTCCCTTCTACAACTCAGGTTGGTTTTTTTCTCTCTTACATTTTTGATTTGGTTATTCCCAGCACACGGCACTTTCTTGGGTCACATTCGGTTGGAACCTCACAAGCCTCAGCAAATTCCCATCGATTCCACAGTCTCATTTGGTGCATCCACAAGGGCATACACTCTACGTGAGAAGCCTCAGACATTGCCATCGGCTGTGAAAGGAGATGAGAAGATGGGTGGAGAGGATGATGAACTCAAGGGCTTACTGGGGCTTCCAGAGGAGGAAACCGAACTTGATGTAATTCCACGTCTCTGTCATTATTTTGTCTTTTGGGACTCTAGTTTTTGCATTATGTAGCTGTTCTGTGTAGCTTGAAATGCTAATGACTTAGCGGCAGGAAGTTTTCTTGAGCCCAGTAATGGGCCTTTGCCACTTTGTCAGTATAAGGTGGTCAACTGTGACATACTTTGGAGGGCTGCATTGTGTGAATTTGTTTATGTGTGACCAGGGATAACAAAGAGACTGGGTCTCTTGCCAATAGACCCTCATGAATTAAATTTTTCTAGAGCTGCACTGTCCAATGTGGTAGCTACTAACTACATTTTAAGTACTCAGTAGTCACATGTGACTAGTGGCTTCCACGTTGACTAGCACAGAGAACATTTTCATCATTCAGGAAGTTCGGTTGGACAGCACTGACTTAGATTGAAGCTTTCATTCATTTCCACTGCTTTCTTTATTGTCCAAATAGCCCAGTAATCTTCTGAATAGAACTAGATTGCTTTTGTTCTTATGGACCTGGCTGCCCCAAAAGCTATGAATTTTTAATATTTTATTTTAGCCCGGCTGGTGTGGCTCAGTGAATTGAGCGTCATCCCATGGACTGAGAAGTCCCCGTTTAATTCTGGGTCAGGACACATTGGGCTTGATCCCCAGTAGGGGGCGTGCAGGAGGCAGCCATTCGATATTTCTCTCATATCGATGTTTCTATCTCTCTCCTCTTCTCTCTTTTAAAAAAAATAAAATAAAAACGTAAACACTTTAAAATAACATTTTATTTTAAAATACTAAAGTTTTCCTTTTCTAGAGGCTGACCCCAGTAGTCTATAATGTGGCTGTCATTCTTTACATGTCTGTTACTGCACTGGTGTGACTGGTCTGTTCGGATAGACCATCTGCAAGCATGTCCTTAACCCCCACATGCACTTACTGTTCTAGTACACTAAGGCAGTTTCCCAGCCCTTAAGAAGAGAAGCACCATGGAAATCTTATAATTTAGAAGTCATTTTGTTCTAAAAAAGTAGCCTCATAGCCAGAGAGGCCTTGAATATCTTAAACTGCAATGCAGATTGGAATAAGACCAGAAGATTGGAAAGAGGCAGGCAGCAGTGCTGAGGCCAAGTTAATCATTGAGATGGATGGATGGTTATGAATAGAGATGGGGCCATACACAGGAATAGGGAGTGACAAAATATTAATGCCAAGTATTAAGTGCACAGACAGTGTCCTTATGAGTTCTGAAAAAGAGGTACTGGGAAGAAAGCTGTCAATCATCTTTTCTCATCTCTTTTGTTACTTTAAAACAATTCATGGAGTTCCTTCCAGTCACATTCCTTTACTTCTCAGCATAAAGACATGGTAACTTTTCTTTTAAAACAAAAAAACAGCAACACAAAAAAACCCCTCAAAACCTCAACTCAGAGGTGTTTGTACAGATGACTTATTCTCAGCTTAAGGCCCTCGCCTCCTTTTGAATATCATGCCACACTAGTCAAAGAGGAGCACATTATATCAAAGGTGATTTGTAAATATTTGCAGTCTGGGGACAGTAATGGGTTCTTCCTGAAGAAGAGAATCTTGTCTGCCTGGGGAAGTCAAGGTTAGCTCGTAAGGCCTTTCTGCCATTTATTTAGTAATACATTCTCCTTCAAATTTTCTGTGTACTGACTCTTGTCTTTCCTGTGTGAACCCTGGCCTAGAACCTGACAGAGTTCAACACTGCCCACAACAAGCGGATTTCCACTCTCACCATTGAGGAGGGGAATCTGGATATTCAGAGACCAAAGAGGAAGAGGAAGAACTCACGGGTGACTTTCAGTGAGGATGATGAGATCATCAACCCAGGTGAGGTATCTTCCTAGTTTCTTCTGATGAAAAAGCTGTGGTCTGAGAGAATAGTGTATACCACCTATAGGTCAGTGTAATGTTTCTAAGATTTCGGATAACAGGTGCTATATTAAGGAGAGTTTTCACAGTTCATTGGTGGAGTACACTTAACACTCAGGCATTATTCATTTGCAATGTGAAAAAAATAGCTAGCCCTGGCCAGTTTTTCTCAGTGGTTAGAGCATCAGCCTGAGGACTCAGGGGTCATGGGTTTGATTCCTGGTCAAAGGGTATGTATCTGGGTTGCAGGTTCAATCCCTGGCCCTGGTTGGGGTTGTGCAGGAGGCAGCCGATCAATGTGTCTTACATCAATGTTTCTCTCTCTCTGTCTCCCTGTTCCTTCCTTCTACTCTATCTAAAAATGAATGGGAAAGTATCCTTGGGTGAGTATTAACAACAACAAAAGAAATAGCTAAAGAGAGGGCCCATATAACTCAATATACAGAGCATGGCTATAATTATCTGCTGATCCAGTGTGTTTATGTCATAGTGAAGGTTTAAGTTAAGCATAGGTGTTTTCTGTCTTTATGTCAAGGCAGAACATTGTTGTCTTAATGGAGTTCTGTGTATGACTGGTAACTTTTAAGATTGGGGAACCTCCTGTTACTATTATTAACTGCATTGAAGACTTGTCTCTGTAAGGAAATAACTTAAAGATGGTTTGTATGGAAATGTCAACAAGATAAGAGCATCAGATTATGGGAAGGCCACTAACTTTCCCAATTTGTTCCATCATTCAACATTTATTTGTTGGGCTTGTGTTATATCTTAACTACTCTGCTAGATGGATGACATAGAGCTGGTAGGTATAGTTTATACAGTGAAGATGGAATTAGGATTTAAAAAAAACGTGTTTGAAAATAAATCTCAAAGGATAGAAACAAGGATCTCAGATTAACACGTTGCTTTTAATTTCCAGCATAAAATGCAGTGAGAATCACTTTCAAGTCCTGCATTTAAGTTCAAAATATCAATTATTTAAATGGAGATGGTCTCTTCCAGCATGAAAAAAAAAAAGATCAAGGGATTTTAGTTAATTGAAAATGCAGTTTTAGTCATTAGGGGTATGTGAAAACTAATAAAGTACAGTTTAAGATACATTAATAGAAGAATGGGGGACAGTAACCCCACTGGTCTGTGTTCTGGGTAGAACTCACACAAATATGTTACTAAATAGAAGCATGGCCTTTACCATCAAATGTGTTATGTAGTCCTGAGTGGGGAAGAGGAGACTCATAGGTATGGAAAATAGTCTCCTGAATGCTGGGAATATAGGGAACCATGTATGAGGGAGAGCAGATTAGAGGAGGCATGGCCACTGTGGTTGGGTATTTGCAGGGCTGACCTTAAGAAGATAACAGTGGGCAAAACCAGAGCCGGTAAGTAGCAAGTATTTGGCTCAACATAAAAAGTAACAACGAATCCTTTTTATATTTAGAAGAATTAAAAGGATCCTGTGAAAGCCCTGCCGGTGGGGCTCAGTGGTTGAGCATCGACCCATGTACCAAGAGGTCGCCAGTTTGATTCCCAGTCAGGGCATATACCCAGGTTGTGGGCCAAATCCCAGTGGGGGCCATGCAGGAGGCAGCCAGTCGATGTTCCCTCATCGTTGTTTCTATCTCTCCCTCTCCCTTCTCTCTCTAAAATCAGTAAAGAAAAAAATTTTTTTTAAAGGATCCTGTGAAAGAGATTTGAACATTTGTTCTAGTGACAAGTTTACCTTTGATGACATGTGAAGTGGAATGGATTACTCCTAAAAGTAGTGAATGTCCAAGGGAAATGGTTAGGGAGGGGCTGGATGAATCTAGGAAACTTATTTCTGGGCCCCAGAACCTATTGAGTAAGAGTTTCTAGAGGTTAGACCTAAAAATTTGTAGTTTTAAACAGGCTCTTGTTGTCCTGGTGAACAGCCAATAACTTGGGAATTAGTCTACAAGACAATCATTTAAGTCTCTCTCAGGACTCAGCATCTGGTCTGCTTTGTTTTTGTCCTGGAAAATTATTGTACAGGATGACACCCAACCAACTGAGCCACACCACACACCAGCCAGGGCCAGGGTATATTCTTTCTTTCTTTTTCTTTTTTTTTTTTTTTCAGGTTATATTCTTTAGAAGCATGCTAACAAATGAAAAGCCAGACTTTAATCAACCAGGTGTTAATTACTCAAATTAAATAGGGAATCTTTATTTTCCAAAGAAATTCGTGCGAATGCTTTTTTTAAAAGAAAAATAGCAAGCTCCCTCAATGCATTTAAAATAAGATGTACAGCCCTGGCTGGTTTGGCTCAGCGGTTAGAGCGTTGGCCTCCTGCTAAGGGCATGTGCCTCAGTTGCAGTTTGTCCCCGGCCCCGGTTGGGTCATGCAGGTGGCAACCGCTTGATGTGTCCTTTTCACGTCGATGTTTCTCTCTCTCTCTCTCTCTCTCTCTCTCTCTCTCTCTCTCTCTCTCTCTCTCCCTCTCCCTCCCTCTCCCTCCCTCTCCCTCCCACTCTATCTGAACAAAAAATGAAAAAATGTCCTTGGGTGAGGATAAAAAATAAATAAATAAATAAGATGTACAGCCCGACCAGTGTGGCTCAGTGGATTGAGTGTTGTCCCATGAACTGAAAGGTTTCTCTGGACCACAAGCCAATGCTTTAACCCGCTGAGCCAAACCGGCCAGGGCCTGAAAGGTTTCTGTTCAATTCCTGGTCAAGAGCACATGCCTGGGTTGCAGCTCGATCCCCAGTAGGGGGCGTGCAGGAGGCAGCCGATCAGTGTCTCTCTCTCACATCGATGTATCTATATCTATCTCTCTCTCCCTTAAAAAAAAAAATTAAAAGAAAAAAAAGATGTACAGCATCTATTAAGGAAACAGTTCCTTTCCTGTCACTACATTAAGATAGAGGACACTTGGAGTCGTTTTCTCTAATAATACTAATAAGTCGGCCTGCTTGTTTTCACATACTCAGCCTTCAGCAAGAAAACTCCTGTTCATCCTAGGTGACCCAGCCCAGTCATCCAGCCCAGTCATCCTTTCTGTGCTTCCAGAACACTGTTTTGCCATCTGTCTTGAAGCCCCTTGAGTATGTTGTAGCCTTTCTGGCTTTGTAACTGTGAACTCTTAAAAGGCGGGGCGGTATTTTGCTCTTTATTTCCATGCCTAATGTCCAATAAATGAGGCATGAGAGAGTGGACTGACTGCAAATATGTCCCTTACTTGGTCTTAGCTCTCTCTCCCTGCAGAGTGAGTGAAACTAGAAGCTTTGTAGGGTATTATAATAACGTGTGTGTAAGCTGTGAAAAGGGAGCTGCTCTCCCACCCTGCCTAGAAGGGGGCTTCATATCTTTCAGTAAAAGACTTGATTGTACACAGTTGTTCAGGTCAAAAGGCCAAATTGAGTTGGAAGCACTGGCTCTGAATCTTAACTCTATTATTTACTAATTGGCGGGCATTGGCAAAGTAGGTAGTGTATGACCTCTTGACATGTCATTGTTTTATAACTAACGTGGAATTGCTAATCTCTGCTGTTTTGTTTCTCCCTCAAAAGAGGGAAGTATATGGAATGAGAAAGAATTCGGGGAAGGCAGCACAGCACAGTGGTCCAGTCCTGTTTCTGGCTGCTTGGACTAAACCCTGGCTCCTCCATTCTCCTATAGGGTGACTGGGTCTGTCACTTTACTCTTCTAAGCCTGAGTTGTTTTCTTTTCTATTAAATGTTTATTGTAGTAGTGCTTACCTCATAGTCTTGCTGTGAGGATTTAACACAGTGCTCAGCACACAGAAACACTCGAAGTGTTAGCTGTATTTTATTGTAATATGAATTGTTGTGATTGCCTTGTTTGGGGTGAGCCCTGTACCCTTAATCCTCCCAGTGGAGTACCAAACTAACCCTTCCCTCATGTCTTTTTGCAGAGGATGTGGATCCCTCAGTTGGACGCTTCCGAAACATGGTACAGACTGCAGTGGTCCCTGTAAAGGTAGGAAGCACACTGTAACAGTGTTTGAAATGCCATTTCATATGGTCTGGTTTAAAAATCCATTCTTTTCATGGCCGGTGTGGCTCAGTGGTTGAATGTTGACCCATGCACCAAGAGGTCGCTGGTTCGATTTCCAGTCAGGGCACATACTCAGGTTGTGGGCCTGATTCCCAGTGGCGGGCATGCAGGAGGTAGCTAGTTGATGTTCACTCTCATCGATGTTTCTCTCTCCATCTTTAAAATCAAGAAAAAAATTTTTTTTAAATCCATTCTTTTATGTGTAGGTAAGTGTTAAGTGTGTGCTTAATTTTATAACATTCTTTGCTCCTCTCCCATTTTTTTACCCTGTGGAAATACTTTTACTCCATCTATGTCTAGGGAATCCTGGAGACCATAGAAAGGCTGCAAGTGACCAGCCAGCTTGATGCTGCATGTAAACTATGATGTGATATGAGTCTAAATTTATCTCCCAGCAGGCTGCAGAGAGGCCCACCTTTCTTTAGCCTTTCCCTTCTGACTCAGAATAACTTGTAAGGCAAGGAAGAGGCATTGTTGCATTTCTGCATGACACCTCTGGCTTTTGCTGTGCCTTTTATTCTCTGTGCGTGGGAGTGGCACAGATAGGAAAGCCAACCCAGACCTGGATTAGGTTTAAAGACCAGATATGTTGAGGAACCAAGAGGTGGAAATTACAAAGATATTCTGATTGCTCACTATGTGAACTACCTGACAGCCAGAAACAAAAAATTATTTAAGTACTGAGCTCCCTGTAAATAGAGGTATTGAAAAAGTAATTGAAAGATGCTGGTTAGAGATGCTATAGAATTTTTTGTATTTGTTTTCAGTGCACAAGAATCAATTATATTTTTATATACTTGCAATGATAGAATTTTATTTTTAAAAAGTCTTTAGAATATATTACATTCTAAAGAATAGAATATATTATTATAGAATATATTAGAATAGAATACATTAGGCTAGATTGATGTGTCAAATTCTTGGTTAGTCTTTGTTTAATCCAAAAGGAATAGAGAAGTAAGGAGGATCTTTCATGAACTTTCTTTAGTTTTGTGTGAAAAGGGACAACATGAAATTTTTCTGTGCAACTCCATAGTGTTCATGTCACGTTTCCCCTTAAGCTCTTTTCTCTCTTTTTGGATATCTGTTATCATTAAAGTACAAAACCAGCAGATATTTTTACTTTTATGTCAGATTACTTGTGGTATAATTTACATAAAATAAAATGTACACGTTAGCCCGGCTGGTGTGTCTCAGGTCTCCTGTTGGATTCCCATTCAGGGCACATGCCCAGGTTGTGGGCCAAATCCCCAGTGGGGGCATGCAGGAGGCAGCCAGTCAATGTTCTCTCTCATCGATGTTTCCATCTCTCCTATTCCCTTCCTCTCTCTAGAATCAATAAAGAAAAAAAAAACAAAACATATTAAGTGAACAGTTGGTTTTGACAGGTGTGTACACCTGGATTACCACCACCATACACAATATATAGAAGTTTTCCATGACCCAGAAAGTTCCTTTATGTCCCTTTGCTGTCAGTTCCCTCCCACTCCCAGCTCCAGACAACCAGGAAACTTCTTTCATTCACTAGAGATTTGTTTTGCTCTGAGATTAATGTTTAAAAATTGGGCACCCAACATGAAGATAAATACTAACTTCTTTTTTTTCTTTATTGATTTGGTTTTATTATTGTTAGTTTTTCCTTTATTGATTTTTTTAGAGAGAGAGAAAGGGAGAAGAGAGAGTTAGAAACATCAATGAGAGAGAACATCAATTGGCCGCCTTCTGCATGCCCCCCTACTGGGGATTGGGCCCACAACCTGGGCATGTGCCCTGACTGGGAATCAAACCGGTGACCTCTTAGTGCATGGGTCGATGCTCAACCACTGAACCACACAGGCTGGGCAAATACTAATTTCTTATTTGCCCCCCCCCCCCCCAGATATAAATGCCTCCTACCACCCATTATCACCTCTGTTTGCTAAAAGGGCATTTTAACACCAAAAAAAAAGAGGGAAAGAAGTATGACAAACTAAGGATAAAAAATAATCGCTTAGCCCTGGCTGGTTTGGCTCAGTGGTTAGAGCGTCAGCTTACGGAGGAGAGAGTCCTGGGTTTGGTTCCCGCTAAGGGCACATACCTTGGTTGCACTTTGTCCCCAGCCCCGATTGGGGTTGTGTGGGTGGCAACCAGTCGATGTGTCTCTCTCTCTTCTCCTCTCTCTCTTCTCCCTTCTCTCCCTCCTGCTCTATCTGAAGATAAATGCAAAAATGCCCTCGGGTGAGGATTAATAAAAAAAAGGAATAATCACTTAAACTGGATGTTTTACTTTATGAAAAGCTTGCACGCTGTCCTCATTTTTCTCTGTATGACTTGGGATGGTGATACTTTGTGTAGACCCATCACATTAGATAACCACTGTAAAGTGTCTTCAAACCCTGAGATTTCCAGACAGTGAGATAGGTTTTCTAGGAAACAAAACATGGGAGAAGTTCAGGGGCCTTCCCCAATTTTTTTAGGGCTAGAAAAGAAAAGGCTAGTTAGCAACACTCTTGTGCCTCACCTTTTGTCTCTTCTGTTCCTTGTAAACCACAGAAGAAGCGGGTGGAGGGCCCTGGCTCCCTGGGCCTGGAAGAATCGGGGAGCAGGCGCATACAGAACTTTGCATTCAGTGGAGGACTCTATGGGGGCCTGCCCCCCACCCACAGTGAAGCCGGCTCCCAGCCACATGGCATCCATGGGACAGCACTCATCGGTGGTTTGCCCATGCCATACCCGAACCTTGCCCCTGATGTGGACTTGACTCCTGTTGTGCCATCAGCAGTGAACATGAATCCCGCACCAAACCCTGCAGTCTATATCCCTGACACTGTCAACGAACCCAAGAAGAAGAAATATGCAAAAGAAGCTTGGCCGGGCAAGAAGCCCACACCTTCCTTACTGATTTGATATTTTTGGTCATGGAGAAGGGTGGGATTGGGTGGGAATTGGGTGGAAGGGTGATGGGGGAGCTAATGAACTAGGGAGAAAAATTTTACATGTGTGCAGTATCGTCTTTCAGAATGTCTCCTGGGGTCTTAACCATGTAATAGCAAAACGGGGTGGGGTGGGGTTGAAGTATCTATCCCCTAAAGACTGGTCTTCAGAACACTTGTAGTGTAGAGAAATGTTTCGTACATCCTTTTAAATAGATGCCCTGGCACCTCCCAGGCCTTCCATGACCTTTTTCTTTCCAGGATTATTTTTATTTAAACTCGTGTACCCCAGGGAGAGACTCCAGGCCCTCAGGTTGAACTCAGAGCTGGGGAGGTGACAGTCGCATCACCAGCCTTGTGGGTCCAGCAGCCTAATTTATATTTACTATCCCTGTGTCCCACATAGCAACTGGGTTGCCATGGATCTGAGGTTGATCAAAAAGAGGGTTTCGAATTCTTCAGTGAAGCTAAAGTTTAAACTCAAAAATGGTTTCCTGCTTCAGTGTCTTTGAGGTCCAATAGTTAGGCTTTTCTTTTTTGTCCTTTCTGTTGGAATGAAAACATTTTGATTGTTGTCTGTGACCAGTGCCATGGGCACTGGTTGATGGTTTTAAACTTACTAATTTGTTTGAACTTGACCTGTTTTTCTTGTCAAACCTGAGTACTCTACTTGCTGAAGTTTCTCATTTGATTCCAGAGTGCTGTCTACTCTCTAATGCTTTATTTTCCTTTCAAGTGTGTTATGAAGGCAATTTTTAAAGGATTTGACCAGTTACAACAATTCCAGTTAAAAAGGAAAAGATTTTACTTTGCAAGTAACTAATGTCTTTAAGAAGACATTTTTAGATGTTGGTTCAGAGGCTCTTTCCCCCCCTTGAGAGCTCTTGTTATCCAGAGCTGTAAGACTAGACCTGGCTAACGAACATAGGAGACGAAGGTAGGAAACATTGATAAGAGCTTTGTACAGAGATTTGTACATTTGTGTAATAGGCCTTTTCACGCTTTATGTGTAGCTTTTTACCTGTAACCTTTATTACATTGTAAATTAAACGTAACTTTTTGTCATTCGGGTGCAGCTGTGATTCAGTCACCATCACCAGTTCCCACTGACACTAGGGAATGTTGCCAGAGGTACAGCTGTGGGGCTTGGGAGGTGGTGTTCTGTCCCCATTTTATTAACCACAAATGAAGATACCCACTGATGAATGCGGGGTTCTAGAAATTCTGTCCCCAGGGTGAAGCCTACGGAGCCAAGTGGGTTAAGAGGTGCCAGCTGCCCTTCCTCAGGAGGCAGCACTGCAGATCTGAAAGGAGACTGAGCTTTGGGGCACTTGACCTGGAGTGGGCATGGTTTAAACCTGGTCACCTGCCCTTTGGTAACAGCTGCAGCTCAGGTGGCACAGGAGCAAAAGGAAACACAAGTTGAGCTCGTCTAGAAGGGATTTGGGCCAGAGTTTGCGTTGAATGGTTGTCTTGCATACTGGAGCCTCACTACAGGAAGTACACTTGGTGTGTGTGAGAATTACATAGGTGGCTTTGGGATGCAGATGCCGGCTGGGTGCCAGATCCTTTAGGGTCGAGTGTGTACTTACAGTGGGAGCAGCCTGATAAGAACAGAAAGATCCATAAAATCACAAGTGTACCAGAAGTTGACTTGAGCCTCTGTAAAAATGAGTGTCCTCATCTTAGGAGAATACCTTCCCTTCATCGTAGCAAGATTACCATTAGTCACACATTGAGCACCTACCTACCCTGCCAATCGTTTACTGCAAGTCATTTAATTCACATAGCCCTAAGGAATATTGTTTTTATCCCCATTTTACAGATGAGAAAACAGGCTCAGAGACAAAATAAACTTCCCTGTGATCCCACTGTAGTGAAGTCAGGATTGAAATTAGTCTGAATCTAGAGCACAGGTTCACACAGCCTCCAGGATGAGTTAGTGAAGGATGTGTGTGGCCCACAGGTGGAAGACGTGCTCAGTAGGCTGGAGCTGTATCTATTTGTAGCTAGGCATTTGTTTTGAACTTAATTTTTTTCCAAACAACTTACTGGAAGGTATATTAAATAATGTAGATATAGTTTAGATAGTAAAATAAATCTGGTGGGAGAGATTATGCTCTGCTTTATTTGGTTCCAGCAATTTAGTTGCAGAGTGGAATTGCATTGGTGTCTCAAAGAAGGCTCAGCAGACTATCAAGCCTGCAGATCTATACATCTTTCCTTCAAGGGCCCAGCTGACTTCAGTGCAAACAGTAGTGCTTGAATTTGGTAGTTACATGACATAAGGAAGCATGTATGTTTAGAAACCTGACTTGCCTGGAGCCGTATTTCTGATTTTTTTCAATCATGTTTTAGTGCTCTTCAAAGGTGAGCACCGCAGGAGTGGATTTTCAACCTTCATGCAGCTTTAGACACTGACCATAAATAGATAAGCCCCTCCCATTCACCACAAGGATTGGCAAATGATTATCAGTCAGGTGAGCATGATGCTCCTGAGGGGCATAGCCCCTCCCCATCCTAGGACACAGTCCACTCTGGATGAGAAGTGCCCATGGGTGTCCCCAAAGTCCTATGCCCATGTGCTAAGGAGGGAGAGGACAAACCATGTTCCCCTGTCCTGGGCGGGAGAGGGCAGTAAGTCCCCTAGAGAATGACACCTGTTGACAGAAACCAGCCCATTCTCCAGGCTATCCTGGCTCAGGATCTGCTGTTCGGTGACAATTGCCTGAAATATGCCAACCGTTATCTGCTAATCATAGGATTTTAAGAGTTAGAAAGATTTATGAGATCTTGTCTGGATCCTTCATTTTGCTTGAGAGCAAACCATGGCAATGGGGACTCACTTCTCTCAACTAAACAGGGTTGAACATGTAGGAGTTGGGTCATGGAAGTGCACCACCTCTGCTTACAAGAGACCTGTCTTCGAGAGGGAGCGTGCACACTTACAATGCTGTCGATGAGAAGTTTAGTGGAGGGGTGGACAGGGTTAGGACAGCAAATGAGCACGATCCTGGGGGTCAGCAAGGCTTCCAGGGAGATGACATTTGAGCCAAGCTTTGAAGAACAAGTAGGAATTTGCTAAGTGGAACCAGCGTGAGAGAGGCATGGGGGACGTGTGGGTCAGATGGGTGGGAGGAGGGAGGAATCGGGCGGAGGCCAGACCCCACCCTATAAACTTTGCTGGGGAATTTGAAAACACCAGGAAGACATTGAAGGATTTTCTTTCTTAAAAAAAAAAAAAAAAAAGAAAGACACAGCCCAGCTAGTGTGGCTCAGTGGTTGAACGTCAACCCATGCACCAAGAGGTCACCGGTTCGATTCCTGGTCAGGGCACATGCCCAGGTTCTGAGCCCAATCCCCAGTGGGGGGCGTGCAGGAGGCTGCCAGTCAATGTTCTCTCTCATTGATGTTTCTCTCTCTCTCCCTCTTCCTTTCTCTCTCCCTCTCCCTCTAAAATCAATAAATTAAAAAAAAAGACAAAAAACGACATGCTCATGTAGAAATACTGGAAAATCCAGAGACATATCACACACACACCACACACACATACACACCCTCACCTCACCAACAGTGGGGGAGACTTCCTTGGGGAGATTTCTGGTAGAGGCTGTGAATGGTCAGATTCAGATGTTATAAAATCCCTCTGGCAGTGGATGAATAAGACAATACCTGACCTTAGGTGAAACAGGTGTACTAGAACATACAGTTTAGCGAATTTAGTGGTAAGCAGAAATGTTAAGAGAATATGGAAGAGAAAGGTCCGGTAGTTTGGTCTGCAGGAGGGAAGGGTGGTTGAGGGGGAAAGCTTCAAAGGGGTGACCTTTGTGTTTCCAAGTGGTGAGGGGAGGGCACTCCAAGCGGGGGCAGCTGCAGGACCAAAGCGGGCAGGGTGGATTAAAGCCTCCATTACATGATGGGGATGGTGGGAAGGCTATGGAGTGCTCACCTATTGACTTCGGATGGCATCTGTTGCTGTGCAATAAAATCATCGCCTGTCTGCTGGGGAATTGAATTTGGACGGTCCACCTCTGAACAGGGGCAAAGGTTCAGTTCCAGAGTCAGCCAGCAGGAGGGGCCCTGTTCCCATCCTTGGAGTCGCAGTGGTACCGGTATGAACCCTGGGCGGGGCTGTGAGGTGAGAGATGAGGGCAGAAAAGAACGTGGCTCCTTGTCGGGGCACCTGCCTGCACTTTATGTGCCTTATCCCCCCATTTCTCCCAACAGCCCTGAGAGGAGGTTGGCAGTGTCCCATTGTACAACTGGGGAACTTGAGGCTCAGAGAGAGCTGAGGTCGCACAGCTGGCAAGCCTAAAGCAGGGATTCCGACCTGGTGCTGGTCGCTTTGGCTATGAACAGCACAGGGGAGCTATTGACTGGAGTTTCTGCCTTGCCTGTGCCCCAGGTCTGTGACTCTGGCTTTTGGTCTCTTTCTGATTTTTCTCTCTACTTCCTACTTCTGTCTTTATCTCTGGTTAAAACAAAAAATCTTCTGTTGACTCCACTTCCCCACCAGTGACCCCCCCACAACTTAGCTGTACCTTGCTGTCTACAGTGCCCCCTCCACTCACCCTTGAATCCACCCCAGTCAGCCAACACGCCATTAAAACTGTACCTGCTGATGACCCCAGCCAGTCTGTTCACTGCTCTGATCAGAATACTCCAGAGGCAGGGGGTGGGAGTGGGAAGGAGGGGGTCAATGGGGAAAAAAGGGGAACATTTGTGATACTTTCAACAATAAAAAAATGTTTTTAAAAGGAATACTTCAGAGGACCCTCATTTTCTCCAAAGTAAGAACAGTTTTTCTACTGTGCACCCCCCTCCTTACCTCTCTCCCCTTCTACCTCTCTCCCCTTGGTAACTCTCTTGTAGCCACCCCAAGTCTGGTTGGTCCTTCAACCCTCAAGGCACACTCCCACCCTGTCCCTGTGGCTGGATTCTTCCCCCAGATGTCAGCATGGCTCCTTCCCTCTCTGCCTTCAAGTGACAAAGAGAAAAGCAGGCCCTGGCCTTCAGGCTGGGCCTTGGTGTTCCTGACTGCACACAAGTTCATGGGACATCCACACCAGACAAGGGCACTCTGTGACTGATGGACCAAGACAAACTCTGTTAGCATGTCTGAACACAGAAAACACATGAACTTTGTCAAAACCACGAAAGGACCAATCAGACTTGTGGCCCAAAAGATATGTCTACCCGGAACCTCAGAATATGACCTTATTTGGAATAAGAGTCTTTGCAGATATAATTAAGAAAGGATCTTGAGATGAGATCATCTTGGATTAGAGTGAGCCCTAAATTCAATTACGAATGTCATTAAAAGAGACAGAAAAGAAGAAAACGCAGAGACACGGAGGGGAAGACATAAAGATAGAGACAGAGATTGAAGTGATGTGTCTACAAACCAAGGGATGCCACGGATTGCCGGCCGCTGCCAAAAGCTGGAGAGAAGCAAGGAACAGATTCTCCCTCAGGAGGAAACCTGCCAACACCTTGGTATCAAACCTCCAGCCTCCAGAACTGTTGTTAGAAGCCAAGTTTGTGGCAATTTGTTATGGCAAACCTAGGAAATGAATGCTACTTCCCTATGCTGGCTAGTAATGAGAGATGCTGCTTCTTACTAATGATAGCTGCAACCTTGGTCTGGTCTTCCTTCCTTTTAAATATTTTAAGATCTCCAGTCATAGAATTGCCCCTGCTTCTTCTTTTTAATCCTCACCTGAGGACTTTTTTCCATTTTTTGTTCAGATAGAGTGGGAAGGAGAGAGAGAGGAACATTGATGTGAAAGGGACACATTGAGTGGCTGCCTCCCGCACGACCCAACCAGGGCCAGGGACAAACTGCATCTGAGGTACGTGCCCTTAGCGGGAACTGAACCTGGGTCTCTCTGGACCGCAGGCCGATACTCTAACCGCTGAGCAAAACTGCCCAGGGCGTCCCTGCTTCTTGACAACATCCAATACAGGTGCTTCTTTAAACCCTCCCAAATCATCTAACCCAAGCCCAAGTCCTTTAAGTCCTTCCTGACACCTTCTTTCTGAGTCGCCCAATTTGTTAACTGCCCTG